AATGTTATACGTTCCATTTATGTTTATGTTGATTAACATTTATTAGAATTTTGGATATTTAACCTTTTTAATAAAATTATTGATTTTCCATCAAAATAATAATAATAATTTTTTTATCTTGTTTAATTGAAAGAAATAGATAAGTTTATTTAATTAATTATACTTAGTACTAACTAAATCATATCGACGGTAAAGAAACTGTTGTTATTCCTTGATGGTTTTGAACACCAACAGTACCAGGGATATGAATGTTCAATTTTAAATGATTAATCATTATCTTTAAACAAACATTATTTTGTATTTACCCTAGATTAATAAAAATTTAATTATATCGACAATCAATTAGTCTAGTGGGATGAGATACTAGGTCCCTTAAGCAAGGAATCAAAAATTTAAATATTCACGTTTGCGAATGAAATAAACTTAGTTAACAGAGTCGATATCACCTATCTAATACCTAATCTAAATTAGTCGATTATTAAGTCAGAAATCAATATACTTTTTTCAAGTTGACTCGTGAAAAGTTGGGGGAAACGGGCCGTCGCTTTCATCATTCCGATTGGGCCCATGTCAGCACAGGCACAGAACAGATAGAGATACCCAAAAAAATTATTAAAATCCCAGACTTTAAGAAATCCTTAATTTTCATGGTGAATAATCATTCCACGTATCCCTCTTCCGCTAGATAACATCACCAGAATCCGAATCAAAACAATCCGATACGCCTCCCGGAAGGCCTACGCCGAATCAAGGCCGATTCGTCAAGAGAACAGAGACCGACAACGATATCGTCGGCGACGACCACATGTTTGGCTCGACGCCTTCTGCTTTTGCAGCGGCTGTGAAAGCATAGTACGGCGTCATCCCGTCGTTTTGAGAGTCGATTTACGAGTCGGATTAATAGGAAGAAAAACAAAAAGAAGATTATGATTGTGTGATATAGGTTTCCCCTATTTTTCTGAAGTTGATTTCAATCTCAAAATAAAAAGAAGGGTAACCTATGTATTTAGTTAGTATCTGAACCGGTAGTTTTATTCTGATTTAGTATTTAAATTTTTAATTTTTTTTAAAATCATATATAACGTTTTATTTTATTTTATTTTATTTTAGTAACCTAGCAATAAAAAGTAAACACGTTTAGAACTTAAACTATCAATTTTAGTCTATTTTAATAATTAAATTTTAAAAAAAAAATCGAAACTTAAAGTTATTTTTTGTAGATGGGTATCAAAATGAAATAAAAATTAAACTTTAAGTATGGTTTTTAAAAAATTCAAAGTTTAGATATTAAAATTAATCAAAATTGATAGTTTAGGCAATAAATACATAATTTACCAAAATAGAAAGGGTTTGTTACGTAAATGAACCTAATTTAAAATTTTGGGTAAAATTTATATTTTGATACCTAAACATTTTTTTAATCTCATTACATACCTTAACTTCTTTATTCAAATTAATCCTTCAATCAATACTATCTTAGTTCCCAACACAAAGTGAAGGATCCAAAAATTTAAAATAGAATCTAAAATTTTAATATATTTTTTCTAAAAAGTAATAGGTATGTAATTTTTTTTTCATTTTTTTTACATATTTTACTAAATTTCACATTTTTTCTCTAAATAATGAGATGCACTTGACCCATGAGGCTTCGTCCATGGATGGAAAAAATTTACAAATCTAATTGTTTTATATTTGGATTTAAACTAATTTAAATTTAATTTTTAAAATTTAGATTATTTTCATATCCAAACCATAAATCTATTCGATATATAAAAGTAATTCTATTTAGCTGAAAGTAAGTTTTTAATGATTAATAAAAAAAATTAATGAAAGTTTATTATATATAAACTCAGTTGCACTAATATTGGAATTGATATTTAATTTATATATTTTAAATGTGTTAATTATATTTGAATTGATATTTAATATTCAGATTAACAAATTATAATATTTATATTTTGATATCTCAGTTAAAATGTTTTGATATTTAAGATTAATTTGAACTATTAATAATATTGGAAGATGTTTGATTTAATATAACGAAGGTAAAAGAGTATCAGAGTACTTTTAAGAAAATTAATGTCGTTCTCGTATTATTTTTCTCAATGTGATCCTCTATCTCAAAAAAAAATCTATTGTGGTTATGACTAACGTTTTTCATCGTTAACCGTTACAGTATTGACATGTGTCAGTTCACGTTACTGACATGGTGGTACACGATACTGATGTGTTAATCTATTTTGGTTGAGGACGTGATAGATGATATGATAAATGGGCTAAATTGTTTTTTTGGTTTTGTTCGAGGACCAAATTATTTTTTAAAAGATCAAAGATTTATTTAATTTTTAAAAAATAAATTTTAAATTATGAATATAAAATTATTTAAATATTGAAAAGTTAAATATAAAATATTAAAAATTAAAAATTAAATTACTAAAAATTTGAATATACATATTAAAAGCACCAAAACTATTATAAAAAAATTCAATTTTTTTTATTAATCCAGAATAAATACAAGGTATTATATGTACAAATTTCGACGTTGAACACTCACACCCCTGACATTTATGGTATTTTTACTGGATTAATCAAAAACTAAAAATTTTAAATTAGTCGAGACTTATAATTTTTGGATTAGTTTTAAAGACAATTATTTAACAAGTTTTGACCTAAAATATAATTTGAAAACATAATAAATTTTGTAAGTCTCGATTAATCCAGTAACAATATTTTTTTTTTATAAAAAGCATCTAGTTTTATTAAAAGTAAAAAATATCCAAAGTTACAATTAAGATTTACAATTATGACAATAAACGTAAACTAAATTATAATTAGAATATTTTTCTATAACCATTGACACAAAAACTAACAAAACAAATGTGATTATATCAGTAAATGAACCACAAAAAATACAAAACTACTGAAAGACTATCGACAAATTGCAAATTATAGTAAGGCGACATGAGAAAACTATAAATGAACATAAAATACGTATCCAAATTAATCCGAGATTTCAAAGCATATAAGATCAACATTATATTAAATAAGTGACACATTGATCAGTCATGGCAATATCAAATCTAACCCTGAGAAAAAATATAAACGAAAACAATGACCAAATTAGCCGAATAGATAATTAGTGTCGTCGTCGATTAAATAAAATTAAATTTTTTTTGATTTGATTTATAAAAATTGACACAATTTATAAATAGAAAAGGAGGGGAGAGAGGGAGAGAGTGAGAAAGAGTGGCTATGGTTTGAATATATAATCATTTTTTTTTATCTAGCAACAATACTTTATATAAAAAATTAGCTAACTCTATTCCCATATATTAAATTTTTAATTTGTAGTTTTAATATTTTTAACATGAATATTTATTTTTTTAATAATGAGTTTTTAATATATAATAATTGTATCTTTATAATTTAAAATAACTATTATTTAAAAAATAATTAAGTCCTTAAACTTAAAAAAATCAATTTGACCCTTAAATAAAATATAAAAACCAATTTAATTTATCTATCACATTATCCGCCATAGTAGAGTACCACGTCAGCATCGTGAAGTGCTATATCAATATCGTAAACTGTCACGTCAACACCAGTTGAACGAAGAAAAATGTAGATAAAAAATAACATAAGTTTATTTTCTGAATTGAATTGAATGACCCCATTAAAAAAAAGTATGCAAGGACTTATTTTAGCTATATGTGGCTTTTTGCCTAACATCAACAACTAATTTAACTTTAGATTTGTTTTTTTAAGTTATTTGATCGTTGATGATTATAAATAGTGATATATATTTTAAATTAACTATTGAAATATGAAAGTTCAAATACTCTACAATAGTTGGTATTTTAATTTAAAATTTATAGGGATAACAATAATCTATTTAATCATTGAGACCACTTTTAATCTGCTTAGTATATTAATATATTTAAATAAATTTAGAAGTTTGAATTATAACATATTAAGTATAAAAAATTGAGTTGAAAGTATCATTTTGATAATAAATATTTCGGTAAAGTGCACAAATGGTCCCTCAACTATAGTATATTGATTTATTAAGTCCTTTGACTATTAAAAGTTATAAAATGGTTTTTCAACTATAGAGTGTTGCTTTGTTGAGTTCCTAGATTATTAAAAGTTATAAAATGGTCACCGACTATTCATTATATCCCAAGCTCATCTTTTTCGTTAAAAAACTAAAGGTATTATGAGCTTAACGTTAATGTCCAACTTAGACAATCGTCAATTTTTTAACGGAAAAAGACGAGTTTGGAACATAATGAATAGTCGGGTAACTATTTTATAATTTTTAGTAGTCGAAGGACTTAACAAAGTGACACTCTATAATCAGAGAACCATTTTATAACTTTTAATAGTTAAGTAACTTAATAAAAAAATACCCGTAGACAGGTAAACATTTGTGTACTTTACCTAAATATTTACAATAATCCATTCGAACAAGTAAAAAACTGAAGTTTGAATTTAAAATTTAGAGAAGGTAATTTTCCCGAGAAAAATAAAAGAAACAAAGCTGAAAGAGAGGGTGTAGGAGACCCAGGAATGGAAAGAGGAAGAGTTGGACCGAGGATTTGGGCGAGAAACCAGAGAGAAAATGTATATTTACAGTAAACTAAAGATGTGCATCTGCATGGTTTTGAATTTCACGAAAAACAACAATCAAATTCACAGCTTTTTTCGCATATAATTTCTGTACTTTTCATCTGAGACAAACGAGGCTTTTTAGAGAAAATCTGAAACCTCTCGGATATAGTGATCTCCTCTTATTTTTCCACTTTTCTTTCTCACTATCTCAGCTTAAAACTTGGCTAAGCTTAAGGGTTTGTTCTCTTGACTCCCATAATCTACGAGATTTGGGGTTTCTTTTTTGTGTATATTTTCTCTAGATTTCCCTCTTTTATTATCCTTGATAATATATATATATTGTTTTGATTTTAAAAAAATCTATCTAAATCTCTCTTCAACAAGTGTTTTTGAGCTCTGGGTGTTCCTTTAAATGCTTCATTCATTATTGGGCTTTCCTTTGATTCCATAAATTTCTTGGGAAAATTTAAGTGTGTGTGTTTGTTTAAACCATATATGGAAGCTAGTGAAAACAATGGCTCAAGAAGAGCATATTAGTAATAGTAATAGTAACGGTGGTGGAATTGGAAACAAAATTTTTGGTAGATTTTCAATGAAACAAAGGCCTAAGAAGGTCCCTCAAAGAGGGCTTGGTGTGGCTCAACTTGAGAAGATTAGGATTGAAGAACAACAAAAGAAAGATGCTTCAATCTTGCCTTCTTCACAATCCCCTGTTGTCATGTCACTGCCGAGCCCTACTCGTAAATCATCGGTACCGGCATCGGCATCGTGTTTACCTTTGCCTGTCCCGGATCCTATGTTCGGACCGCCTTTTTCTGCTGCAGACACTGTTCCATGGACCTGCAATGGCAGTGTTGTTCATAATGGTCAAAATAAATTGTGGGGCTCTTGTGAATTCGAGTATAACAACATCGAAAAGGAGTGTTCTGGATTGGATCCTGGTTTGGCTTCCAGGACTAATTTGAGTTTGCCTTACGAATTCGAACCGATTTGGCCTTTGCCGGGTTTGATGCAAAGGGCTGCACAACAGACATTTCAGCAAACAACTTCTTCAGTGGTGAGATTGTTGGCTTTGTGTTGTTGTAATTGGTTGGTTTCTGCCATTGTTGATAGATAAAAGATTGGGGTTTGAATTTAATTAATGCAGATGAATTTATCATCAAGAACTTCATCAACATCTGTGCTGAATTTTCAAATGGAGCCCCCTTCAAACCAAAACTATTATGGAAATTGTACACCTTTATTGCCTGAAGATGATAAGGTATATATCAGTGCTCAATTTCCCTTCAATTCTTTCCATTTACAACTATTCTGTTAGTTATGAAATTCTTGATGTTTATAGTCTGAATTTAATGCCAAATGAATCTGAATGTAGCATCGAATAGGCCCGAGATTCGCATTTAGCATCTCTTATTCTTAGACTACTCTGTTAAACTTATCTAATAGGGGAAGGATTTATGCTAGGATTCAAACTTCGAATTTATTAGATACCGGTTTTTAAAGATTTCTGCATGAACCATTTGAGTTGAGTTTCGAGTTCACTTAGGAATGCTTTATTCTCTCTTTAGTGTGTGAATTTGGTGGTTGGCATGAACTGATCCTATGATAAACTCATCCTCGAAAGGTAGAATAGGCTCGGGATTTGTATTTAGCATCCGGAATCTATTCCCCTATTCTTCGACTATCTTGTTAAACTTTTCCAATAGGGGAAGGACTTATGTTACGATTCGAACTTTGAATTTTTCGACTACCACATTTAGAAAGTGTCTGCATGAGCAGATTAAGCTAACTTTTGAGTTCAGGAATGCTTCATTCTTTCCCTTTTAGACCTTTGATGTTATGTAAATTTGGTCACAACGTGTAGGTGGTTGGCATGAAGAGATCATATCCCTTTTCTCTAGACAATGCCCCAGGTCCACCTATCTTCAGCAAATATCCTCCCATTGTTCATTCCATTAATGGACAAGTTGAAACAGCTTCGTGTAGCAACTGTAGCACGTTCAATTTCGAACCTGGCACCCTGAGTTTCAGGTTCGATTGAGGTTTATGATTCAAATCCCAACTTCCCTTTCTCTAAGTTTTCTCCCTGTTTCTATGTTTCATCTTGCATCATTCTCCAGGGAAGGACCTTCATGTTCAACTTCAAATATGGAATCAAAATCCAAGAAAAGCATCAAACAAAATGGGGTCTTTGATGGAGATTTTCTCACATTAGCCCCTCCAACAACTGAACCGGTGTGTTCGAGCTCGAAATTCAAGCACCCTTCATCCGTCTTACCCTATGACAAGTGTGAATTGCCCTACCTCGAATCATTAGCTTATCAGGTTAGCTTAAACAACAAATGACACCATCTCTGTTTTCCCCTCGATCTTATTCGATCATTTGCTTCTTCTTCATTAGCTCATACGTAAATCTTGTGAATGTGTTAAAGGCAAGCTTCGAAGAACTGATTGTCCGGCGGGGAGTCGGCGGAGTAAACCAGCTGTATCGACCTTATTACAGCTTCTTACCACCAGCAATGGTGCAAATTGACAGAGCAACAACAATATATATGACCAATTGTAAAGGTGGAGAAGTAGGAAGACAAGTTGATCTCAATTTGAAGCTATAAACGTTATTCTTCTCGGTACAAAAGACGTCCGAGTTTGAAAATGCGAATAGCGTTACTACGGATATTGAGATTCGAATTTGAAAATACAAATAGCGCTACAGATATTGAGATTCGAATTTCGGAGGCTATTCGATGTCACATCCGGATTATATGAACAGATTAAGTTAAACCTCAGGTGTAAAGCTACAAGATGTTTGAAATCAGAGATCATATTTCTTGTGCCTTAAAGTTCCCCTTGTATGATTGGGTTTGGGTTAGATTGGGTTCGTGTGGAGGGTGAAAAAACTTCGATCGGACCTAATTCGAAGATAATAGTATAATTTCTTTAAATAGATTTATGGATAACTGTTATAATATCCCATGTCTCTATTATTAATTTTAATTAAGTTATTTTATAACGGGTCGTATTAAGTCAAATTTATATTTTAAAAATTTGGATCGAGTCGAGGATGGGGTGGAGGATATATATTTTTTGGTTACACGTAAAGGATGGCATCTTACTTCTAATCAGCTTAATTATTTCGGTACTTAAATTACAAGGTAAATTACATATTTAGTCACTCACATATTATTTCTTTTATGTTTGGTGATTCAACTATTATTTTCTTCGAAAGCATGTTTACTGCTATATTTATTTATGTTTTAGTCACTCACAGCTGACTTAACGAAAGTAGTGATGTAAAACCTACACGTTATATCACAATAGTCCTAATTTGAAATATTTCAAAAAAAAATCCCCAATTGGAAATCCTTCAATTTGATTCAATATAAAATCTCAAAATCTCTACTCAAATTCTGATAGCCATCGAATCGTTGTGCTCCACACTCCTCATCGACTCCTAATAATGTTGTTCACGCCTGACAACCACTGGACTCAGTCGCACCCCTAGTGTCAATTTTGAAAATTAGGTTTTCGACGAACGACTGGAAGTTGGAGTCAACAAATATCAAGCAACTTTGAGAGCGATAGATATGAAGAAAGAAAATTAATAAGAACGGTGAAAAGGTAAGAGTCCGAAAGGTTTGTGTTTTGCATAAGAGTGGTTGTGATGGTAGATTGATGGAGATGTTACAATTATAGCAGTGAGCAAAACTACGATAGGAGTTTGGGGAAATCGTCAAATGACGAAGGAATGGTGTGAAAACAGTGGTGGGATCTATAAAGGATGCAAGGATGATCAGAGATGAAACTAAAATAAAAAGAGGCATTCACACAACAAGTCTTTAAATTTTGAGGATGAACGAAGAGGGACAAAAATAGAAACAAAATGTAATATTAACTTTGATTTTGAAAAAAAAAATAATTATCTGAACAAAACATAAATACAACAATAAGTTAATGGTTAAATTGATAGTTTATGGTAAATTATAGGCTTAATATTAAAATATGTTTCCAAAATATATCTCTTTTCTCGTATAGATGTCTAAAGTAATTTTGATTAATTTCGGTGTCTAACGTTACAAACGTTATAAATCTGATAATCTTAAAAATTTTATTTAAAATTAAAAAATTAAAAAATATTTTTTAAAAAGAAAACATAAAATTTTTGAAATAACCTCAAAACTTTAAAAACCTTCATTTGAACCCTTAAATCCACGTCGACCACCACCCTTTATTGTCGACGAAGCTCCACCCGACATCCCCTCCCCTCGACGACCAAAACCCCTATGAAATCATGATCGATTGACAATGAATCGACATTTTATAGGTAGCGCCTAAGATGAAATTCGTAATCCCACGCGATTCCGATAGCCAATCGCGGTAACTACGACGTCATATGACTAGGAGAATGACAAGGAATATGTCGACGACAATGGTCGTGGCCGAAAAGAGTGACAGTGGTAGGTTAATGTTAGAATTTGAAGATTTTAAGGATTTTGGGTTTTTTTATAATTTAAGAAAAATTAGGGTTTTTTATAAATAATTTTTAAAAAAAAATTTCAAAATCTTCAAATTGTGACACATGTCACTTAATGAAGAAAAATAACGTTGTTGACGACTTATATATCTAAAATAATAACGTTTGTAACGTTAGACGCTAAAATGAATAAAAAAATAATTTAAATTATGTTTGAGAAAAATAGTATAGTTTAGACATTTATTCTGATATTGAGCCTAAATTGTACTATGACTACTCAATTTACTAAGTAAGAATTCAACGTCAAGTCTCAGCCCACCTCATGGTGAGCTCTTAAAAAGGAAAAACACAGCAACACCCATGGCCATGGTCCCATGGAATCTGAAGCAACAAATAAAAATATTTTCCCTAAAGACAACTTTATTTCATAAACTTTTCGCCATTATTACACCTTCACAAGCTTTCTTCTCTCTCTTTCATTAATCCTCCTCGTAGTAAATCTTTCCAGCCCCACACCAATCAAACAAAAAAAAACCCTCTTTTTTTTTCTCCTTACATCATCCCATTGACTATCAACAAAGAAAAGAAATCCAAACTTGGATTTTTCTTTCCTTTTATGGAGATTTCTTCTTCGTTGTAATCCAATGGCGATGTCATAAATACACCCCAAAAGAAGTTAAATGGATCCAGAGAGACCCCATGGAAGCAGTATAAGAGACCTCTTCATTTGTTTCACTTCAGGCCATTATTTCAGCAGGAGGATAATGGTGAGAAACAACAGTAGCTTGAAAAATGGTGAACAGAAAACTTCACCGATGTTCTCCAATGGCAAGAAGAAAGGCCCTGGTTTTGAGAACCCTGAGCCGTCTTCCCCTAAGGTTACTTGCATAGGTCAAGTCAGGGTCAACAAGAGCAAGAAACAAGGGAGCATGCTGAGAGATTGCAGCAGATCTAACTATGGAGGTGATTGCAGGAGATGGGTACATTTGCCGATGACTATCTGTGAAGCATTGAGGGCATTTGGTGCTGAGTATGTCTATTGCCTTTTGCCTTGTACCAGGTCTTCTTCTTGTATGGCCAACAACAAAGAAGACAAGACAGGAGGGAGATCTGGTAAAGATCGAGCTAGGGTTTGTGTTTCGTCTTCTTCCCCACCGATGGATGCTTTGTTGTTGACTAGATGCAGATCTGTTCTTCTAAAAATGGCTGCTTTTGCCGACCAGATTTGTTGGGAAACTCGAGAAATTGCAGAAATAAAGGAAGATACTTTAACCCAAGCTTCATCTGATGCTCCTGAGAGGGTACATGAAGAAGAAGAGGGTTCAAATTCAAACACGGAAGCCATGGGACCCGACCCGGGAAATGAGTCGAAGCAGAGTGGAAATAGGCAGAATCCATTGCCCGATTGTTTAATGTTGATGATGTGTGAGCCGAAGCTTTCAATGGAGGTATCCAAGGAGACATGGGTGTGTAGAGGGGATTTCATCAACAAGCAGCCATTGGTCAAGCAAAAGGAGGGTGTAGATGAGCCTCCGGTTTTGTTACAGCCGCCGGCGCCGGAGCCTTCTAGCTCTTTGGCGAATGATCGACTGTCGGTCAAGCAAAGGGACGGTGTAGATCCGCCTCCTGCGGCGGTGGCGTCTTCTTCTTGGTCTTTGGCGGCTGATCCACCGCTGGTTATGGATGCGATTAGTGCCTGCAACTGTGGCTGATCAGAAGCCGTTTGTGCTGACGCGCTGCATGTCTGAGTCGATACGATCATCAGCTAAGCTTGCTCCAAATGCTTGCTAATAGAAGAAGAGGATGGTATTTTTAAATTATTCTTCAAGAATTTTAATAAAGTTCATTAAATCAATATGTTCGGTGAAAATATTATAATTTTTAATAATATCAAATGTATTATTTAATTAACTTTTTTTATTGATATAAGATAAAATATAATTATTCGATATTTGAAAAAATAATATTATGTTTTACTATTAAAATAATTCTATATATAAGGATCAAAATTAAAATTTCTAGAATTTTGTATTAAAAATAGGATAAATTATATAGACAATCACTAATGTTTGAGTAGATTTTTATTTTCTATTAAAATTTTAAAAACAACAAATCAGTCATTAATATTATCGATTTATATCGAATTGATCACTTTTTATTAACAAACATTACTACAGTAACAAAATCTGTCGTGACGTGTTAAATCGGCTGACTTAACATATTTGATTATACGGGACAACTTTGACTGATCGTTTGACTCTTCTTCTTATATATGAGAGGACTCTAGAGAGTAATTTGCAGTTTGGATTCGATGGTGGCAGAGGAGAGGAGGATGAAGACTACGAAGCAGTGGTGAAAGGAGGAGGGAACAAGGAAGCGACGAGGTTGGTTGTTTGAAGGATGCACGTCCTTAAATGTATTGGCTTAATGGAATGATTGGACGGTTACATAAATGTTTATGGACCAATTAAAAAATTTCAGATCTTGATTTGAGATTATGGCTGCTTTGAAAAGAAAAAGAAGTAAAGGGTGTATGATATGATCAAATGTGTTAAATCAGTTGATTTAACGTGTCATGTTAATATTCTGTTATTGCAATAACGACTGTTAATAGAGAGTGATCAATTCGTTATAAATCGATAACGTCAGTGATGGATTTGTTAGAATCAATAATGTTAGTGATCGATTTGTTACGAATCAATAATAATAGTGACTGATTTGTTACTTTTAAAATTTGAATGAGAAAAACAAAAAATTATTCATACATTAATGACTCATTTGTGTAGTTTACCCGCAATACACATATTTGATATATATAATACAAATATAATATAAATCGTATCAATAATAAAATTATATCCATATACAAATCAATATTGCTGTCCAGATGATCTCGTTAATGATGATCTTTAACGGCGGCGAAGATGGAAATGGCGATCGGTAGACAGAGAAAAAGATCATCAGCAAGAGCTTCCAAGTTCTTCTCGTTCTCGGAGCAGAAATCAGTTGCAGATTTGATTGATGGAGACAAATGATTATGAATCCGGGTTGAGGATGCTGGAAGAGTTGTCCACAAATGCCCGGCGAATCCAGGGCCAGTTGTTGGGTGAAATCCTTACTAAAAACGCGGGAACGGAGTATTTAAGCCGGTTCCTCCACGGCCAAAACGACAAGCGACTCTTCAGAAAGAACGTACCCGTTGTTGCTTATGAAGATCTCAAGCCCTATATTGATCGAATCGCCAATGGGGAGGCATCTTCGGATATTCTTTTAGCTCATCCCCTCACCGGGTTCTCTGTGAGGCATGGCTTTCTTTGTTTTTGGTTTGTTTTCCATTCCGTTTTTTGTTTTTCATTATGAGTTTATTATCTGTTCGATTAAATGCAGTAGTGGGACTTCAGGTGGGCAGCAGAATCTGATACCTGTCGTCGATGAAACTACTGACACACTCGCAATGTAATAACACGTATCGGTTTGTGATGATAAAGTAAGCAACCCCATCCCCATTTTATTGAAGTTCATAGTTTGATTCATAAACTGATAGATTGTTTACTAATTGATTAATGACCTGAAGAAGAGAATCATCCATCTATGGCTTTGGGTGTTAGTATAGGATATCCATGGAAGAACGCATGATTTTATATCAAGGATGGAATTTTAAAATCCTTTATATCAAGGATGGAATTTTAAAATCCTAGGCAAGGCGAAAACAAATTATCAATATAATATTTAAAGAAAATTTCTAAATTATAAGAGAAATTAAAACTAATGGATATCATGTAATCATGTCCCGTATTTGGATACGGATATAGAGATATAACTTTCGAAAGACTATCGAAATACATGGTAACACTCGAGTACGAGTAACATAGGTGCACTATATATGCTATGTTGTTGACTTGAAATGTTGGTGATTTTGTCACATGTTTCTAAAGGAAAAGGATAAAGCAGCAGATTGTTTAGTTTCTACATTTGGTTATATCATTATTTGTAAGTTTGGGGGTTCTAAGCAATGGTGGGTCTTGTTATATTTGGTTTAGGCCTAACATATTGGTTGTTAGTATGCATACTGATAATCATTGGTTTTAGGTATCGTTTTATAACTTTTAAAACAAATATCATACCGAAAATTTGACTCCCATGAAAATTCTAGTTTTAGGTCAAATTATTCATTTACGGGCTAAAATATATATCTTTTAAAAGGTATATTTTTTGTCCCTCAACTTTTACAAGTTTATACTTTAACTCTTAAGCTTTCAAAACTTACATTTTAGTCACTATTCAAAATTTGAGATAATACATAACGAGAGAAATCAACACAGTTGACAACTTAGACACTTAAAGTGATAACGTTCACAACGTTAGTCATCGGGATGAGTCAAAAAATAATTTAGACATCTATTCGGAAAAAGATGTATAACTTAAGCACTTATTTCGATATTAAGCCTTATATTAACATGTTTAAAAAGTTAAATACACAAATAGTCACCAAACTATGATAAAAATAACTTTTGTAGTAACCAAAATTTTAGAAACTATATAATATGATCACTAAACTTCTCAAACGATTATAAAATATTATTCGTTTATAATGGCCAATAACGATTTTATAATAAATGATTATTTTTATAATATCGAGTGGTTCATATATTTATACACGTATCTAAATATATGTCGAACACGAACATAAAAGGCGACGAAAAATGAAAAGTCCGAATAACATAAACTATGATAGTATATCCTAGGAATTATTATTTTGTTATTGTCTTTTAACCCTATACCTAAAATCGTTACAACACATCTGTCGTAGTTTTGTGTCATTATCCTCTAACAGGCATGGAAGATGATCTTTGGTAATCTTCCTTCCGTAAACTAGAGATGGTCGTCGCGGAAATAGAAGACGACGGTCTAAGTAGAGGTGTACCGACCCGGCTAGAAGTTTCATTAGCGAACACCGGGGAAGGGGTTGATGCGGCAACATTCGGTGGCGGTTGCAACTCTACCTCGGTGTATGTGCCGTTGCTGTCTTCGTGAATATCGATCAGCTCGTGGTCATCTTCCTCTAGCGACATTACCGTACTCGTGTCCGTATGTATGGTTGAATCGTCGGTGAAACGTCCGAGCCTCCTCTTTCTCCTTGCCGCCTTACCCCATCCGTGGATCGTCTCCCGTATCCTTTGCGGAATTAGTGCTGCCTTATAGTTTGTTCCCATCTGTAAGGACAGTTTCAGTAGATGCAGCACGCAAAATCATCGGTTAAAATGTTCACCATTTCGATTCAGACATTGAACCGTAAAATTTACTACAAGAAACTGTTTTTAAGCAGTTAAAAAGGTCGGATACGATCACATCCCCAATGTATACATACTTATAACAGACACTCGTATCCGAGCCCGAGTAACACTGAAAGATGGAGTGGTATGTGTCTGTGTAGGGGGTGTGGGGATATGTAGCTTCTCCCCTAAGCATGAGCACATGCTCGATAGAACTTTTCCGGAGACGTAGATGGCGATTTTGGCAACTAATCCTCTATAAACAGGTGATTTCTTAATGTTCAAATTTGCTTCGATTGTTTTCTCTGAGTGAAAGCGATGTTAATGAACAAATCAAATACCTGAGTGACCAAAGCATAGAGTGGAAGAGTGATGTAGCTACAGATAAATTGCCCGGCGAACCTACGAGGTAACCAGAATCAAGTAAGGACACATGATCGATGAAAGCCGTAAAACAAAATCGAGATTCGATAGAAACATGTCCGTACCCCAAAACAAGTCGTATGTAAACAAGCGTATGGTTATGGATGAAGCATGAATCATAACCAAACTGCCACTGCAATGATATCAAAAGACGGTAAGTAATTAAGGAGACTATAATACCGAAGTCGAGATTGATGTTCAACTCAAAAGCATAATCGAGATTGTTATTAGATAATGATCAAGTCGTAGAAGAGAAATACCCAGAACCAAAAAAACGAAGCCAGTTCGAATGCATTCTGCGGAGAAATGAGACGAGAACATTAGTCAGATGAAAGGCACGTTGTGAATAATACAAAATCTTTTACTTGATTGCATTGCATTAAACAACAACCTGGAATAGGATGAAATGGATAAGGGATAGCAACCATTCCGGCTTCTTAAACCAGAAAAGTTCGTCCCGAGGCCTCAGCTTCGGTCGGCTAAAAGAGCCAGTAAGATTAGCCGTTTCCAGCACCAAAGTTGCGATGACATGCTGTAGCTTTGCACCCACGAGGAGAACAAGCTGCACACAAGATTACGAACATACGAAATAAGAATCACACAAAAAGATTAGGTAACTGAAATCACCCTAGCTAGGCGTTCCGTACTAACACTGTTTCGGCTTTTCTAGTGTTGGGCATATATTCATGTCCGACACTCAAACTCGGGTCCAAGTAACATAAACGCAAAGGCCGAAAATAATACCGACAAGAAAAGACAGAAGACTTACTGCAATGGGAATGATTGCTATCCAGAAATATAGATTAGACCCTGTAAGAAAGGAAAGTAGCCAATGAATTATGAGTCCAGTGAGTTAGCACACACTACTTGAAAATTCAGGTAGGCAACAAGATCAGAACTACAATTCCTATACTCGAAAGTTCAGATACGCAACACGCAACGAGATGAGAACTGTTATTCCTACGGACTCGTTTCCGCTTTAAACAACCCGAAAATGTGGATTGCTCGGGAGGTAACAACATGAAAACATGCTTACGAAGCATAATAATTCAATCTCAGTTTACAATGTACTGTACCTTTCACATTGAACAGCATAAAGGCAACAACAAATCCCCAGAGTGGACCGCTGCAATATAAATACAAGTGTGAAAATATGGAAACCGAATACGCATTCCGCTATGTGGTGGCCTTAACACACAATAAAAGTAAAAACCGATAGATAGGACAACCCGAACAAGTTATAACAGACTTTTGGGAGACTTTGACAGAGAAAACAATGAGAAAGTTCTTTATGAAAACATTACTTGCCTAACACCAACAATCCGTTGAAATTCTTCCTCCATGGAACGAATCATATAGCTATGAAAATCGTACTTTGACGTCAGATTGTGATTCTGCCATGAATATGAAAAACAAAAGGCATACATGTTCATAAGTGATAAGGGCAATTTAGTATCGAGAGAACCTTTTTACATATAAGTTTGCTCATCATACAAGAAGAAAAGAAAGCTGAAGAACAATATGAACCGAGTTCTCGGTAGTATAAATTAGTATGTTTGTAAGACTGTAAGTAACACATACCATGATGAAGCCTTTACGGAGAGTGAGATAGTCAGCACGAACAACCGAATACCCGAATTGCTGGAAGAAACATTTCTGCCAGTTGAAAATAAGAATTGAAGGCAATTATGCACATAATTACAACAAAATGCATAGCAATGAAATTACTGAATCCGAATTTCAAAGTAAACAAAGCAAGAAGAAATGTTCGGCACCTACCACCCAGATAAGAAGACTGTTTTTGGTCCAAGGGTTCGATGTGTGGCTTATGACAAAAGTTGCTTGTCTTCGCATTATCGACTCTCTTGCTTTTTCTGATAAAAAATCGAAAAGGAATCTTTTTAATAACTTCGACAACAGCTGATCACATGTATGAAAACATCAAAATCCATTCTTACAAATTTAATAAATGCAACTATACGCTAATGGCGCCCTTTTAAATCACACGCAGAGTGAGTGTCGAATATCGGTATGTGTCTAACACGGTAGAGGATCACATCCCCATATCCATGTCCGAAATTGTATCAAAAACAGGTGCCAAACATGGGTAGAAGAAAAATGAAGAGACAGAACAACATTCACAGCATTGGTTCTCCATCAGGAACTTTATATCAACATAAATGATCAATAAAGAACAGTACTATCCGAACCTATCAATAATATACAGTTTAGCTTACCATTTAGTATCTCGTGTCGATCCATACGAGCTTCATCCTCCCAAGCTCTCCAACTATGAATCTACCAAACAGTTACGATATCAATACGTAAGGAAATAATATTAACATAAAACAGTTAAGTTTTAATTATGTGCATGACAAAAATGAAGAGCCCGGGCAACATAACGTAGAAATACGTGACATGACTAAAATGAATCAACTGCATGGTACATAGTACTTTTTTTTTACATTCAAGGGCCTAACCTTCACAATTGCAAGTAACATTGTTAAGCAACTGTATGATACATGTGTGATTGCCATGACAAAAATGAAGCGATGCAACTGTTCGAGACCTTCGTACGAAACAAAAGGCTCATGACCCTGAAGAACAGAACAGTTTCAAGATGTTAGATCACATACGCAAGACAAAAAGAATGAAAAGGCCAACAAAAGAATAAATTAAATGGATATAAGAGAATGTGGAGTCAATATACGGATTAGTTACATGCCTCTTTGCAGGTATTCCGGTTCATGCCATTCAACATTCTCCTAAATAAGCGAAAATCAGAAGCCATCAAAAGCTTACGCTCCTTGGAAGGATCATCTTCAAGTTCTTCATCGATCTCGGACCTGGTGCATGGTGCAAAGGTACTATTGTAGAACTTTGACGGGATGCAAATATTGGCTATTATACTCGAGGTTGCTATTAGAAGGAGCGATATGAAACCAAGCAGCATTAACTCTGCAGTCGAAGTCCGAAAGTAGCAACATAAATATGACAGACAAAAAGAAAGGAAACTAAAGTTAATTTGTGAAAAATTTGTTATTCAAACACCAAATCAGAAAATATCATTGGCTGCAAGTAAAAATATACGAAAATACCTTCTTTCATCTTCTCCACTGCGGCAAGCAGAGGTTTCCGATTAGTTTTCCTTAACCACTGAAACAAATTAGTAGAAGTCGGTCGTAAGACTTTTTTAAGCATACTAAGAATCTCATTACCAAAAGAAATATGTTCATCAGTCCATGGACATAATCTCATTACCAAGAGTTTAAAGAATCGATCGGATGACATACTATGATCATATCATATTCAACGAATTCGAACCTGCTCTTACCCACATAATCTCTTGAAAGTTATAAATTACCAATAGTAGTAATCTCTTAAAAAGGTACTCAAATTCAACTCAAAACTAATCTGAGCGTGCTAGATAGTAGATACCGAAACGTGAGAGCCGGAAGTGTTTGTAGACAAGATGAGCAATACAAATCACATTGCTTTTGCAGTGAACTCGGAAATTCAGAATCGAAGAAACTACAACAAAGCTTTTCAAGACTTCATAACTTGCCACTTAAAACCAATTTTTAGCAACCAACAACACATTTAGTAGTCAAATTAAACGGGGGGAAATGCTCAAATTCAATTTAAACAGAATCTCATTGTTAGATATAGACCTGGCACATGAGAGTTTATTGAATTTCTATCCAAAAACTCATAATTGCATAATCTCATTCAACAAAAAGCTACAAACATGATAAAGACATCAACAATTGGAAGCTAAAAACTGGCTTCTCACCTTGCTTAAGCGGTGAATCGAGCGCTCAACGATCAAAGATACCACAACAAAGATTGTCAAAACAGTAGCAACAGACCATGTTGGCGTCAATGCCAATGATCTCATTTCTTTTTCATCTTCCACCATTTTTAAACAATCCTAATGAACCCTTCAAAGCCCTTTTCCCACCACCAAAACCCTATCTCATTAACCTATCCCACTAAATCTTCAAGAGCAACTAACTGATCTTGCATCATATTAACACTAAAACCAGCATATTTGACTTCAAAGAAATTGCAATTTGTTCCCTCCAAATCTTCAACACTCTCTTAAACTACATACCATATGAACACTTGAATCAACAACAAGGATGAAAAAGGTACTTCCCATTTCAACCTAAAACACCCAAAATACACTAAACAGAAGTTTTTGGACAACAAAACCCAAGCTTTGGCATAAATCAAGGTTGAACCTTGCTTTGAGCCACGAAGCTTAGGAGAACACCAAAAGCGAGGTACCGGGTGGCGTTTTCCCGGCCTTTTCTTTTATGCAGAAATGGGATTTGATCCAGCTACTGAAGAAATCAAACTCACTCGTACAAATTAAGGAAACCAGAACTTTAAAGACAGAGTTAATGTTTCCAACAGCTCTTTGCCCCTCAAATGCCAACGGCTTCTTCTCTGTCTTAAGTTTGAACACCCTTCGTAATAAATGTTCAATCTTTTGGCACTTTTTTGGGAGACTAGAACAAACAGGACGAGAAGATAGATGGATTGAAGTGAATACAGTTATATCAGATCACTTTTTTCCGGCAAAAAGAACAGATTCTCAATGAACTTTGGGAAACCCGAAGTGGAATTGACAAAAATTTCTTTAAAAAACATCGATATTTCTGCTCTTTAATTCATGGAGAGAGTTAAATTGGAGTTTTGAGAGCTTCTCTGTAGGCCAAAAATTTAATGAAGCGGTGGCAACTGGCAATGCTGATGCACATGGATCTACAGCATAACAGCGGGAGAGATCCCACTAATCACTTCTATATTTTATAAAGGGCTTAATTCAGCCTCCAGTCCCTTTTACTCTCAACTTTTGAAATTTAATCCCTGAAAAAAGACGAGTTTAAAATATAATGAATAATTGAGTGACCATTTTATAATTTTTAATAGTCAAATAACTCAACAAAATAACACTCTATAATTAAAGGACTATTTTATAACTTTTAATGGTAGAGGTACTTAATAAAATGAGTCTAATAATATTGTTATATATATATATAACAATTATTTTCAATTCCTCAAATCTAGTAGGAAACTTCTTGTACCGACAAAATGTGTGTTTAATATTCCTAACATTATTATTATAGTTTTCTTAATTATAAGGGTAAACTATGTTTCCATCACTTCACTTTGATCATATTTTTGTTTTAGTCACTAAACATTATTCAGTTTGTTCATTCAACTTTTGAATTATTTTAAATTTTGTCACTCGAACGTTAAATCAGAAACAACAAGATAACATAACTTCTTTTTGCTAACATGGAAGTCATAGCATTTTTTTTATTTTTTTCTCATTTCATCGTCTCTCCAACCACACCAAACATCAATGAATTCACCCCCATCATCCTCTACCACCTCTCAGTTTAATTTTTAAAAAATATCTTTTTGAAACTCGTGAAATTTCAACCTAAAATCAGAGAAAAACGACTTTGATCTACAATTTCTATCATCCAATCACCATGAAATTAGAATATATTGCTCGCCCTCAACTTCTCCGTCATCTCGTTATTGGGATTTGTAAGAATATGCTTCAAAGTCATAAAATTATAGGAAATTCAAAAAATTAGATTAAACATTTGAGAATTAAGCTTTTAATAGTATTTTTCACAAATTCAAAATAAAGCTTTGAGATTTCTCTCATAGTTTTTTAAACAATAAATATCTGATCATAATACAGTTAAATAATTAACAGTGAAATGATAAAAACTAGACTAGTGTCAAAATTAAATGATCAATTTAAAAATTTATGAAGTTTAATCATCACACCATAAATCTGATCAAAGTTGAATGATAAGATTGTAGTTCATCTTAATTATAATTTTAATTATTAAAGTAATTATTTATTTAGGGTTTAAGGTTTTCTGAACATAAAAACAGTTGCATCAAAACGACGTTATTTTAATAAGAGTCACATCATCACCGTCACGACACATAGTTGTCATATCATCGTGACGTTAAAGGAATTAACGACGAAGTGATATAATTGTAGTTAAACATAAACGTCAGTGTTAAAATTGATAAAATGAAAATATTGGTAATATAAACGAGCCCGAGTATAAATATAAGTGGTATTTGAAGTAGTTTACCCTTTAATTTTTAAGGTCAAAATCAAGATGTGGGGCCCTACATCACAAATTTCCATACGCGCATCAAGGAGGAATTAGCGTTATTAATATTTATGCTTTTACTTTCCTCCAATATGGGGTCCAGATCACATGCAAAAATAAGTTCAATTAATAATTTTTAAACAATTTCAATTATAAAATGAAAATAATCTCTGACCACAACAAAATCGTTTATTCTAATTGTGATTACAGCAAATATATATATATACATATAATAATAATTATTATTATTATAATTATAAAATGGTTTCTTAAATATAAGGAGTTTATTTGTTAAGTTTATTGATTATTAAAAGTTATAAAATGATCATTCGACAATTCATTCTATTACAAACTCATCATCTTCCGTTTTTATAAATTAATGGTCATTGAGTTAGACGTTAACATGCTTATTGAGATACGATAGTTGTTGAGATTATAAGATCAAATTTTATCATATCTCAGTAAGCATGTTAATGTACATCTTAGATCGCCGTCAAATTTTTAATGAAAAATGAATAGTCTGGAATATGATAAATAGTTAGGTGACCATTTTGTAACTCGTAATAGTCGAAAGGCTCAAGAAAGCAACTCCTTATAGTCAGTTGATAATTGGGGACTTAATAAAGTAATATTCTATAGTCAATGGACCATTTATGTACTTTATCCATTAGAGTTTAGGATTTTAATGTTTTATATTTAAAGAATAAAATAGATAAATTTTTATATAGTATGTGTTTAAAATAATAAATTTATATATAAATACCAATGAAACATTTGATTAGAATAATCTTACATTACTCCAAGTAATATTAGATCATAAATAAGATTACTTGGTTTAGTTTATAATATTATTTAATGAGTTGGGGCAGTTACAAAAATATTTATGAGAATTATCGTGTGCGTGCGTGTATATATATAGGTTAACGTGTGTTTGTGCGTGTGTCTATATATTTATTTATATATATATATATATATATATTAACAACATAATGTTTATAGGATAAACACAAATAAAACTTTATAGATTACTTGGTTTATCCGATCAAGCTTGAATATAATTTAAATAAGATAAATATTTTTTTTATTTAAATTTAAATATAAAATATATATATATATATATATATTATTTTTAAAATAAAAAAATGGGAAGTTGGAGTCTTAAGAAACTTATGAAATTGAGACTAGAAGTGCACCATCTCTTTTCCTCAGGTATCATCAAAGCTAGTTCAATCTGAGACTCTATTCGGGTGATAAGGCCTAAAGTCACATGGCAAAAACTAATATGGTTTCCCCTTTATATCCCTAAACATAGTTTGATAACTTTGATGACTTTTATAGATAAACTCCCCACCAAGGAAAGGCTTCATCGAATGGGACTTATTAATGATTGCTTATGTGTTTTTTGCAATACTGAACTGGAAACTATAGAACATCTCTTTTTAAAATGCCTTACTGTTACCCTTATGTGGGAATATGCTTTTACTCTTTTTGGTTTGCAGTTCACAGTCTGCTCGTGGGATGCCTTTGTGGAGAGGGCACGCTCAACATGGAGGGGTAAATCAATGCTAACAACGATCATGAAGCTGCTTCTTAATGCTCTGGTTTACTTACTCTGGGAGGAACAGAACAAACGAATGTTCCAAGGTCGCTCTAGGTCTGCTAGTGAATTATTAAAGATTGTCAAAGATGTAATTAGTTTACAACTTAGGGGTAGGTTTTTTAAAAGTGTTGATGTGAATATTTCTCTTTGTAACCATTGGAGAATAGTTGATTGCTGATTTATTTGTATGTATTGTTCTGTTTTGGACCCTGTATGTATTCTGTAGCATTTTTACTATTCTGGATAATAATATACTGACTTATCCAAAAAAAATGGGAAGCTTAGGTGGATCAAGTTGGGCCTAACCCGAGCCTGAACTTGAACCCATGGACTCGTTTATTTCAAAAAAATTATAAAACATAAAAATTTCTTCTTCATTTTTTTTGTTGACAAATGAAACAACTAAAATTATATAAATAATTTAATTATTTTTTATTTTTTAAAAAGTAAATTAATATTTTAATTAATAATATATAAATGAGTATTAAGTTCGAAGCATAAAAATAAATTCACATTATAATTAAATGACTAAATTTTTTTATCATTCGTTTAAAGTATCTCATAATTAAATCTTATAACCATTAAAAAATATTAAATCTTACCGAAAAAGAACACTCCTACTCATTATATCTCATTAGCAACACATAAAAATAATAAAAATAAATAAATAAAACACAATATAGTTGTTAATTTAGAAACAAGGACGTTACTGATGGAGGCCATGTGCGCCACTGCGGCGGATTTTAACGGCTCCTTTTGACGTTAATTTTAATTTTGGGTAAATTTCATCGTTACTCACTGAACTTTTTCTCCTATTTATTCACTCAACCTTTGATTTGATCAATTTGCTCACTAAACTTTACATATAGAATCATTTTGCTCACTCCGACGTTAATTATTTTACGTGTTATGATGTGGCACAAGCATTAAAATGAAATCATTTTAAAAAACTCAAATATACTCCAAAACGATGTTGTTTTGGTGAGTAAAATAGGAGAGAGTAAAGGCAATAGCTCATGGTGTAATTTATCCTTTTTCCTTCTCTTCTTCATTTTCATTCTGACCACTGTCGCCTACCGTAGATGGTAGTCGTTCGGTCCCAAATTTCTTAGGTTGGTTTGTCTCGATCCCCTGAGTTTGAATATAGTGGTTGTTTTCATCGAATAATGTCCTAAAACCCGTGAATTTAGACTGAAACGTTTCGGTTTTCTCACTTTCAATCCCAAATTCGTGGACTTCGGAGGAAGTTCTAATAAAATGGAGGTCAAATTCAGACTTAAAGTGTAGAGGCGAAGCGACCTATCCCATTTTATGATCGAACGACCATTATCTACGGCAATCGACGATGGCTAGCGATGGCATGGTCACCTTATGTTTTTTATTTTGTTTTTTAAATTATTTTATATTAAATAATAAAAATCACATCATCGGTTGTTAGAGAAAAAATCTCGAGTGAACAAATTGATCAAATTAAAACTGGATAAGAAAAATAGGAGAGAGAGTATAGTTCAGTAAGGAACGATATAATTTTTACACATAATATTCATTTTAAATATTTGTAATTATTTGATAATTAATGTTCATCGTATACATTATTATCTTTGGTGTCTTGAATCTGAAATATTTGATTCGTGCACATATCATATTATTTAAATATTGTCACATAATTTAATTAAATTTACATTATAAATTAACGGTTCTTTTATTATAGTGCATCAACAGAATGAACTCAACGCGCCATACGGCCCCTACAATTGCACTCATTTAAAAGACCGTTAACTTTAACCGCCGTCGACACCTTTTCACTGGCTCTTCCAAAGCCGAGTAAAATGGGCCCCCTTGATCGTTTGGTCCCACCCCTTCAGCCATCCTCTTCCAATCAAATTTATTATTAAAACCATTTTTTCCACTTTAATATTTCTAATTTCCCCCCTAATTTTCCAATCAAATAAATAAGATATCCAAAAATGACAAAATATGTGGAATAATGCAACGGAAAAAAATTGCTCAGATAATGCATTCGAAAGATTATTTGTCTATCTGAGGTGAATGCTATAATTTTTCATAGGTCGTCATATCTTTCAAACGACCTACGTTGGTCGTCATGTGCTCTGAACGACGATTATCTAAATTTCCCTAAGCAACAACGATTACCTAAATCGGTAATTAGGCTTTTAGCCGAAGACGTACTGTGCGACCTATGGAGGTTGTTCGGAGCACATGACGATCTATGTTGGTCGTTCGGAGCAGCTGACGACCTCGTGAATCACTGTAGCAATCACCCCAAATGAGAAAATAATTCATGGACTGCATTATTCCATGATTTTTTTTCCGTTGCATTATTCCACCAGTTTTGCCATCCAAAAATATATATAAATTTATTAGAAAATGTTAAATAGAAAAAATCAATAAGTATTGACATAAACTTTATTATGTTAACAAATATATAAACCTTAATTATATATAATAGTACGAATACAAAATTTAATTGAATTTAATTATTTTACACGAAAAATATATATTTTTAATTTATAATTTTATAAAATAGATTGTACCTAGGTATGAATATGTGTTAGATTAGATCAAAATTCGATCTATTCGAATTTGATTCGAGTATTATATTTTTTTAATTGACTCGATCTAGATTTAAGGGAATTTCACACAACGTTAAATACGATTTTATTTTAGGGTAAAACCCCTACTCGCATCTCACCTAACACAAATATAATTTTTAGTTGAAAAATATAAATCTAATTAAAAAAATAAACATATACAAAAATATTATTACAATTATATATGAAAATATAAAAGAAATTATACTTTAATATCAAATCGAATCAAATCGAAATTTGTCGATTTGAATCTCATATTTATCCCTAATAGCATATCATAATAAAAAAATTTACTGAGAAAGATAGGGTTTTTTCTATTTCTTTGGTGGAAGTAATAAATTCCCAGGCAACTTAGGATACATTGAAATATATAAATGTGTTTATTTTTGGGTAAATTACAGTATTCCTCATTAAACTATTTTCTCTCTTATTTTACTCATCATACTTTTATTTTTTCTAATTTACTCGTTGAATTTTCGAATTATAACTATTTTAATAGTCGTACATTATTTTATTATTATTTTCATATGATATGATATTTTTATTATTATTTAATATAAAATAATTAAAAATATAAAATAAAAACAGAAGGTGGTCAGATGCCGTCGTAGACCGTCGTAGACGGTGACCGTTTGGTTGTAAATTTTATAGGTAGGTTTGTCTCAATCCCTGAGTATGATTTGATGGTTATTTCATCGAAAAATATCTCAAAATATGTGAATCTCGACAAAAATGTTTCGGGTTCGTCACTTTCAATATCCAATTCGTGGATTTCGGAGCAAGTTTCGACAAAATGGAGGTCAGATTCAGACTCACGGTGTCGAGACAAAGCGACTCAAAAATTTGAGACCGAACGACCACAATCCCGATGATGGTGTTCGATCACCTTTTGTTTTTATTGTATATTTTAAATTATTTTATATTAAATAATAAAAAAAATAATTCAGATCGATGATGGATACCTTGACACTAACCTTCACCGCTTCGAACAATTCGGTTTCGTTCATTAACGGAATCGAAGTAGTTTCGATCCCGGATTCGGTGACCGAATCCATCTGCTCATATTAGCGGACTTTCGGAGTTCTCTATGGAGACTGTTTATCGGTTGAATATGGGAGGACCATTGATCACTGCTGAGAATGATACATTGGGGAGAATATGGGAGAATGATTTGAAATATCTCCATGTTAACAGTTCTTCTCTGGATGTTTCTGCCAATCCGGCTTCTATCAAGTACGCGGCTTCGGTTAGACCGGAAACAACACCGAATTTGGTCTATGCCACTGCAGAAGCCATGGGATATGCAAATGTAGCTAGCATGAACTTCAACATAACTTGGGTCTTCCCCGTCGATCCGAACTTCAGGTACTTGGTTCGGACACATTTTTGCGATATCTTGACTCAATCTCTCAACAGTTTGGTTTTCAATATGTACATAAATGATGATATTGCTGTTGCAAGTCTTGATCTCTCTACGTTGACTGGTGATCTAAATGTGCCTTATTATAAGGACTTTATCCCTAAGTTTTCGGTCGAATCAGACACGTTAACGTTTATCACTGGTCCCAACTCGATGGCAGATATCACTAATGGAACGATTAACGGATTGGAGATTATGAAGCTCATCAATGATGCTGGAAGCCTTGATGGTCTTTCTTCGGTTAAGATTTAAGAATCTCATTCTCGGGATAATCATCGGTTCTGTTGTAGGATTTGTGGTTGCAGCGGCATTAGTCGGATTCTGCTATTGTTGCATGGCGTATCGCAGGTCGGAAACTACTCAACAAGGACATTCGTGGTTGCCATTACCTTTACACGGGAACTCTCTGACTATGACAAAAAAATCGACAATATCGCAGAGGAGTGGAACGGCGAGCTGCATCTCGTTGGCTTCCTCCAACCTCGGCCGGTTCTTCTCCTTCCAAGAAATCCTCGATGCTACAAAAAAATTCGATGAAAGCCTACTTCTTAGAGTTGGTGGTTTCGGAAGGGTCTATAAAGGAACACTTGAAGATGAGATTAAAGTTGCTGTCAAAAGAGGTAACCCCAGATCTGAACAAGGCATTGCCGAATTCCGCACCGAAATCGAAATGTTATCGAAGCTCCGGAACCGGCACCTCGCCTCTCTTATAGGCCACTGTGACGAAAGATCTGAAATGATTCTTGTTTATGAATATATGGCTAATGGACCCCTTAGAAGTCATCTCTATAGAAGAGATCTACCTCCTCTGTCATGGAAGCAACGACTCGAAATATGCATCGGGGCTGCTAGGGACTTCATTATCTCCACACCAGTGCAACAGAAAGCATTATTCACCAAGACGTGAAGACGACGAACATCCTATTGGACGAGAATTTCGTAGCCAAAGTAGCATATTTCGGTCTCTCCAAAACCGGTCCGGCTTTAGATCAAACACATGTGAGTACTGCTGTTAAGGGTAGCTTTGGTTACCTTGACCCTGAATATTTCAGAAGGAAGCAACTCACCGAAAAGTTGGATGTTTACTCATTCGGAGTGGTCCTGATGGAAGTTCTATGCACTAGGCCGGCTTTAAATCTGGTTCTCCCCCGAGAACAAGTTAGCATAGCGGAATGGGTAATGAACTGGCAGAAGAAAGGCATGTTGGATCAAATCATGGACTCGAATCTGGCCAGGAAAGTAAATCCAGCTTCTCTTAAGAAGTACAGAGAGACGGCTGAGAAGTGCCTTGCCGAGTACGGCATCGTCAAGGCCATCAATGGGAGATGTTTTATGGAACCTCGAATACGCCCTTCAGCTGGAGGAGTCCTCATCAGCACTAATGGAACCTGATGATAACAGCACAAACCATATCCCGACCATTCAGTTGACCCCGCTCGAGCCATTCGATAACAGTGTAAGTATGATCGATGACGGAAATTTTGGCACCGACGATGATGCCGAAGACGCCGCCTCCAGTGCTGTGTTTTCGCAAATCGTAAATCCTCGGGGAAGATAGATGACAATCAGATAACATAGGAAAATGAAAAAAAACATTTTCTGTAAATTGTTTTCCTTCAAACAAACGACCCTAAGGTTTTTCTTTTATTACATTATACATTATGTTATTTTCCCGAAAATTTACATTCATAATATATATTCATTTCGTACCATAGATGAGTGGAAAATCACATTTAAGTTGCAACGTTTCACCATTGTTGACTTAATTAATAATTTTATCGTCAAACTTTACTCTCTTTTTTATTTTGTTAAGTGAATTTTAAAATTTTAATTTTCTCATTGAATTTAATACATTAGTTTTTTTTTGTTACTGAATTTTATTATCTCTCCTATTTTGGCCACTCTGCCGTTAAATAGTTAACGGTGTTAAAAATGAAGTTGTTTTAAAAAACATTTTTTACCAAAACGATGTCGTTTTGTATCTATATAACATCTCATTTTAATGTCAATAATTATTTAACGGCCGAGTGACCAAAAAACACAATGCATTAAGTTTAATGAGAAAATTAAAAAGATTTAAACTATAATGAGTGAAATATGAGAGACAAAAAAGTACAATTACCAAATATATAATTTATCCTTACACATTTTATGTTACTAAATTAATTCTTATACTTTTGAATATTCTAATTTCATCCCAAAACATGACTCTCATTCTAAATTAGTCATTGAACTTTTGAACATTTCAATTTCATCTATAAACTAGAACTCATTCTAAATTAGTCCTTGAATTTTTGAAATTTCAATTTCACTCTTCAAATTATGACCATCATTCTAAATTAATCCCAATACTTTTGAATCTTCCTAATTGTTCCAGAGCAACTAGAAAGAGATTCTTTAACCATAACTTAACCTAGATTTTATATTTTTTCAACATATAATAATATATGGTTTTATTTACATGGGATATGATTGGCATATATTGATAGGCTGAGATGAAATTGAAATCAATAGTTTTGATACTAATCTAGAATGAGAGTCACAGTTTAGATGAAACTAGAATGTTCGAAATTTTGAGGACATATTCGGAATGAGAGTCATAGTTTGAGGACGAAATTGAAATATTCAAAAGTATAAGGACTAATTTAAAAAGAAAAAAGAAGTTACCATCTTCCTCGCCATATTTCCCTCCCGACCACACATTGAAGTTACCAAAATAAACAATCTGTGTTGATTGTCGAATCTCTTTCCCTTTTTGTTGTGGAATGATTGGCCGGCGCTAAACCATCCCCGGGAGAGCGAGAAAGAGACGACTACCGCCACCATCAACGTCGGTCGAAAATGGTGCGTCGTCTCTTCAACTGTTTAGGCAAGTGTACCGGATCGATCAACGGAAAAGGAAACGCGGCAATCGTCGATGCACCGGTACCTTCGCCGGTACTCGTGGAGCTGTTCTCTTCCCAGGGATGTTCGAAGGCGCCGGCGGCGGAGCTTTTGTTGTCGAGGCTGGTGAGGGGGGATTACCTGCTGGATGCGCCGGTGGTGGCGTTGTCTTACCATGTCGATCACACGGGATGGAAAGACCCTTACGCCTCGACCAAGTGGAACGTCCGGCAGAAGGCGTACGTCAAGGCGTTGAAACTCGACGGAGCGTTTACGCCTCAGATCGTGGTTCAGGGCAGGGCTCATTGTCCGGCTGATGAAGAAGATGCTTTGTTGTCCACCATTGCTAATGCTCCCAGGTTCCCTGCTCCAAAATTCAAGGTTTACTTCGTAATTTTCCCACTTTTTGTGATATTTTCGTAGGGGTAAACTACATCTATCATCCTCAAATTACTAATATTTTATCAATTAGTTCCTTCTGTCAGCCTATCTATCAATCTAACTGGTGAACGATTTAAGCGCCTCTTGATTAAATGAAAAAAAGTTGTATATTAAGCCCCTCTGAGAAATTAATAATTTAATTGAAGTCCTTTTAGTCAATTGATTAAATGGAAAGCTTGCATTTTTTGTCCATCCTAAAAGTTAATTATTCAGTTTAAATCCTTTTAATACATAATTTGTAGTATTAACCCACCGGAAGTTTATAATTTTATCTGGACTTTGTCGAGCAAATACCTGATTGTACCCACAAAAATTTGGAAAATTAACATTTAGTCCTTCCAAAAATTTAAAATTTTGATTTGGTCCCTTTAAAATTTTCAGAAATTTTATTATGTTTCAATTTTTTATGAATATTTTTAATAAGTCCCTCTTACAATTTTTAAGAGTTCTCATTAAGTCTTAATTGTTTTTAAATATAGTTTGACCCCTTTTAAATTTTTTTGAATTAAACCCTTCAAATTTTAAAAAAAAAAATCATTTAAGCCTCAAAAAATTTTAAGAGTTTTAAATAGCCCCAAATTGTGTAACGCTGCTTTTTATGTTAAGAAAATCAAGTGACTTGGTGCATGCATGCATGCAATGTGCCAACAGGCAAATTTTAAGAGGCCAACATCAGAGACCTTGGAAGTAACCCTAATCGGAGCATTGAGGTACAAGGTAGACAACAACGTCGACAATGTGATGGTGGCGTTGTACGAGAGCGGATTGGCGAACGAGTGCCTTTCCGGCGAGAACAAAGGGAAAGTGCTTTACAACGACTTTGTCGTGCGGAAACTCGAAAAGCTCTGCATCGTGGACGACATATCGGCCAAGAAGACGCTCTCGGTCACGGTCACTTTCCCCCTTTGGGACGGTTTCAACAGCAGCAAGTGTTCCATTGTCGTCTTTGTTCAAAACATTTATCAACAAATCTTTGGTTCCCAGTACTTTCAGTTGCCTGATGATTTGTAAAAAGAAAATTATTTTCGAAAAAAAAAATTATTGCATGGTGACCAAATATGTTTTGTACTCGGAAAAGAGTTCATAGGAAGAAAGGAATCCCCGAAGTTTAAATCCAATCTCTTTTATACAGACAAGAATATATCCAGGATGCATGTCCGCATGAACAAAATTATCTATCTGGAGAGGAAGAAAGGAATCCCCTAAGTTTAAATCCACTCTCTAAATCATAGCATGACTTACACGTACAATTTTCAGATACAAAATAGGAAACCAAGTACCGGAGTACAGGGTAGAAGAAACAGTACAAACGATCTAATGCGATGCTAAATGGTTTAACCGCCATTAGAAGAAGAAATGAAAAAAATAAAAATGATAGAAAGAATGGACAAGCAGATAATACCAAAAGCATTTTTAGAAGTGCATGTGTTCCAATGTGAGCCAGGGAACTTTTAATCTGCTCATGTCCCTCAAGCTTTTAATCTGCTCATGTTCCAGTTCAACAAGATGAAAGAACAACCAAACTGAAAACAATAAAATTAACTCTACTTCTACATGTGACATTTTCCAATAAATAAAAGCTTTCTTAATATGCTTTGACACTATCATTTACACTATTGTTGAAGATGAAACTAAAAGAAATAGAATTGAAAACTCGAGTTCTTTTGAAAATCTTAATAAAAGAGAAAGTTCTAGAAGGCAATTGACCTCGACATGGTTGCAAACGAAGCTGGAGCAAGCACCGTCGCAGGCAGGGAATAATTTTGGTTTCAGCCGTGCAGGTAGTGGGCGAGGCGCCGGAAGTGAGGCGCATGGAGTCGTACACGTGGCTGAGAACGCTGCAGGCAGAGACAGTGATCGCGTTTGAATAAGATCCAAGTGACATGCGGTGATTGTTTGAGGGTTTCGTTTGTAGGGTTAATTGCATATTTGGTTTCTGTATTGTACATTTTTTTAATTTGGTACTTTAAGCGATGAAAAAATAGGCATGTATTTAGTCATACAACTATTCTCATAGTTCTATTTAGTCACTTAGGTGGTGTTTGTTTTTGCAGAGGTAAAAGGTCTGCAGTCTACGGACCACATCTGCAGGCATCTGCAGCAGAAGAGGTGGACCAAAAGTCTGCAAGAAGAAGACTGTTTGTTTTTTAACGTCTGCAGACTGCTAAAATGAACTGAAATATAAATAAACTGATTTTTTAAACTTAAAAGAATTTTGCAATACTGAGATTTAAATAATTTTAGTTTTACAATACTGAAATTTAAATAATCCATACAACTACAATAATAAATTATTTAAAATAAATCAGTCTATATTTTAAAATAAATCAATTCATACTAATAAATTATTTAAAATAAATCAATCCATACAATTACAATAATAAATCAATCCATATTTTAAAATAAATCAATCCATACAAATAAATTATTTAAAATAAATCAATCCATACTAATAAATTATTTAAAATAAATCAATCCATACTAATAAATTATTTAAAATAAATCAATCCATATTAATAAATTATTTAAAATAAATCAATCCATACAACTACAATAATAAATCAATCCATATTTTAAAATAAATCAATCCATACTAATAAATTATTTAAAATAAATCAATTCATATTTTAAAATAAATCAATCCATACTAATAAATTATTTAAAATAAATCAATCCATATTTTAAAATAAATCAATTCATACTAATAAATTATTTAAAATAAATCAATCCATACAACTACAATAATAAATCAATCCATATTTTAAAATAAATCAATCTATACTAATAAATTATTTAAAATAAATTAATCCATACTAATAAATTATTTAAAATAAATCAATTCATATTTTAAATTAAATCAATCCATACTAATAAATTATTTAAAATAAATCAATTCATATTTTAAATTAAATCAATCCATACTAATAAATTATTTAAAATAAATTATTTTAAAATAAATCAATCCATATTTTATAATAAATTATTTTATAATAATTTTTTAAAATAAATTTTTTTATAATAATTTTTTTTAAAATAAATAACCTTATTAAATTATTTAAAATTATTTTAATAAATAACTATATTTTATAATTGTTCTTGAAGAGGTTTGAAGACCTTTGAAGACATAAAACAAAGTCTGCACCAAGAAGAGTTCGAGCAGTCGTTTGAAGAGCTTCTGTCTTCTAAAAAACAAACAGTTTGCGAAGCCTAATGTCTACACGTGGTCTGCGCGACGCATACATAAGTGGTTTGAAGAGCTTGCACAGTGAAAACAAACACCACCTTAGCTATTTTTTCTCACAGTCATATTTAACTTTACATTTTGATTACGTTTTGATCATCTATCATTACAAAAAAATATTGACGTGTCACCATAAACTAATACCACATCACAATTGAATAAAAATAAAATTTTTATTATATCATCAATTTTGTTTATTTTTAACTGTTGGTGAAGAAAAATAATAATTATATTATTATTTTTGGTCAAATCAGATGAAGTTACATTTTTTATTTTAAATTTAAACTCGAATTTGATCCGATTCATCCTCCTCAATTTTTTTAAGAAAAACTCAATCCTATGAAACCAGTCGGGTCGGAAGCCAAATTTAGTTATTTTTTAATGTCATATTCTGATTTCTAAGGGAAAATTATCGTTTAGTATCTAACTATCAATTTTGACCTATTTTAATATCTAAACTTTTATTTTTTAAAAAAAATCATAATAAAATTTAGTTTTTGTTTCATTTTAGTACACATGTTAAAAAATTTAATGTTAAATTAAAAAAATGAAAGTTTAGGTACTAAAACGAACCAAAACTGATAGTTTAAGTACTAAACGTGTTAGGTTTTTAATAACGGATACTAAAATGAAATAAAAACTAAACGATGAATATGATTTAAAAAAAAATGAAAATTTAGATACTAAAATGGATCAAAACTGATAGTTTTGATATTAAATGCATATTTTACCCTTTGTTTAATTGTCATTTTTTACTTGGCTAAAGAGGTTTGGAGGGATTCAGCGAAGAGCCTTGCTTCAAAAGCACACTCATCCTCTTTATCTCTCTCGATTAAAGAAGAAATTCTCAGGAAAAAAGAAATCAATCTTTCGGAGAAAAAGAACAGCCTCTGCATTTGCTTAAAATTAGGGAAAAAGCCTTATTCTTTCCCTCTCTTTATAACCTAAATCAATCCGGAAGGAAATGGCGGAGATAAACCCTATGGAGCTGCTCCGATCCAATCTCTCTAGGGTTCGGATCCCCGAACCTACCAATCGCATTTACAAGCAAGAATGCTGCCTCTCTTTCGATTCTCCGGTACTCTTCCTTTCGTTTATTTTTTATATATAAATTTCTCGATTGTTATCTGTTCGTTTCTTGAGGAACTACTGGATTTCTTGTAACTAGTTTTGACTAACACTCTGTTGATACGATACTTGTTTTGACTTTTGATTGTTTCGACTTGTTTTTGTTTATTTGTTGTTTGGCTCCCGAGAAAGTTAGTTAAAGCTCAGATTCTTGACTCAAGATTTTTCCATTTCTTTTTGTTATTAGTATTATTTTTAGGTTCTGCTTGTTCGATTTTTTTTTCAATAGCTCTCAAATGATGTTGGATTTTGGGAGGTCAGAAGGACAATTGTTTGTTGTTATCAATACTTTTCTAGCATTTCGGAAAGATCACGTGTCTTTTGTAACTAGTTTTAACTAAGAACACTCTGATGATACGATATCTGTTTTGAATTTTGATTGTTTCGACTTTGTTTTGCTTATTTGTTGTTTGGCTTCCATAAAGTTAGTTAAAGCTCAGATTCCTTGACTCAGTATTTTTTCCATTTCTTTTTGTTATTAGTATTATTTTTAGGTTCTGTTTGTTCAAAATTTGTTTCACTAACTCTCAAATGAGGTTTAATTTTTGCAGAGGTCAGAAGGAGGATTGTTTGTTGATATGAATACGTTTCTTGCATTCGGGAAAGATCATGTGGCTTGGAATTACGAGAAGACTGGAAATCCTGTGTATCTGCATATTAAGCAAACACAAAAGTTGGTTTCAGAAGATAGGCCATTGAAGAAACCCGCACTTTTGGCTATTGGTACTTTTACAATATTCTTGTACTTATGATTAATTTGTTTTTTTTCACTGTTATTGCTTGCTTCTTGTGAACACTATGTGGTATTGTTATTGTTCATGTTGGCGGGTCAGAATATACATACTGTTCCTTTTCTCCAGCAAGCCCTTTTTTGTGTGCCTTAAGCAACTATAACGGCTCTAGCACCTTGAGTTCATATTGCATGCCCCTGATAACTCTGGAACTGAGAAGGGTTCCTATCTTGTTTTGCACTTAATTTTTGCAGTAGTGTAGGTTATATTTTCGTGATCTCAATGTATAGACATTTTTTTTGATAGGAATTGTAGGCCTCATTAAAAACCCCCTTCTTGATTAAGGAACTTATAATGAGTTCCTTCATCAGAGGAAGGAGGAAAAGAGTGCCTTAAACTTCATTAATGATAATACCTAAGATTACAACAAGAAGAAGCCCCTTACAACAATTTGAAAAAACCCAAAATAAAATACCCCTAAGATACACTGGAATTAGCCAATGGCAGATTTAGCCATCCCATCAGCCTCAATATTGGCTGCCCTAGCAACCCATCTAATAACACCCTCAACTTCTTTTAGCTTGATAGTTATGTTCCTTACAAGACTGACAAAAATCTGAGGGCAGAAAGTTCCATTCTTAACCCAATCCACGGCCAATTTGCAGTCTGATTCTAACAATAAACGACCATTAATACCTCCTTTCACTGAATCAAAGAAAATTAAGCCCTTCTGAATAGCCCTTAGCTCCATCATAATAGGTGGACCTGGACCCGTGGCCTCCTTAAAAGATCCTAGAATAAGACCTTCCTCATCTCTTAGAATACCCGCAACTCCACTGCTGTTCCAATCCGAATTTGTAGCAGCATCCACATTCAATTTTACAAAGCCCTTAGGAGGGGGGGACCAAGGAACTGTAGTAACCATCGATTTGTTGAGAGGGAAGCATGAATCCCCAAGAGACGGGTCCCCGATTAGAGAATCCATTGAAATACCAGAATCTGCAAACTTAGCTGAGAACCAAGATGCAAGTCGTACTCTTGCTAAGAAAAATAGATTAAGATGGTCAAACTTCCCTCTATCAAAACAATATCATTTCTTACCTTCCAAACAGTCCAAATAACAACGGCAGGAATGAACTTCCAAATGGCAGACCTAGGATTAAGATCTTCCCAAGCTTGAAGAAACTTCTGCGCATTTGTATGAAAAACCACAAAAAGACTCCAATACTGCACAAATTTGTTCCAAAGTGACCACACAACTGAACACGAGAAAAATAAGTGAGAAGAAGATTCAACCTCCAAATTACATAAAGGACAAGAAAGATCTGTTATACCCGTAACCCCTCTCTTAACCAGTTCAGACCTCACTGGCAGTTTTTGAAGAACTACCTGCCACATGAATACCTCAACTCTTGGTGGCACCAGACCTTTCCACACAAATTTCTTCCAAACATAATCCTCCTTCTGAGCCAAAGAACAAGTCTTCACACATGAATTAGCAGAATAGACACCAATTCCGTTTCCTTTCCAAATCAGACCATCGATTGCCTCTTTAGACAGATAAAAATTAGAAATGATAGCCATCAGGTTAGCCCACTGTTCAAATTCCCAATCGGCTAAGCTTCTCCTCAACTGAATATTCCAGATCCATCCCAAAGAGCTGAACTCGCCAAATTCAATCAGTTTTCCAAGCTGGTTTGTAGAGATTGCGAACAACCTCGGAAAAGAAACCTTAAGAGGACAGTCCATTGCCCATTTGTCCTGCCAAAACTGAATAAATTGACCATTCCCAACTTCTAGTCTGAACATGCTGCGAAAATAGCAACCAAAAGTCTTCTTTAAAATAAGAATTCACCACCGAGCTCCAAATCCAAGAAGCTTGAGCTGGGATTTTGCGATTGAACAATAAAGAAAAAGGATCAATATTGTATTTTGAACAGATCATTCTCCTCCAAACAGCATCCTTGTCATTTGCAAATCTCCAAGACCATTTCCCCAATAGTGCCCTGTTCATATTGCTAATATTTAACACTCCTAAACCACCAGCCTCCTTTGGCTTACACACGTTAAGCCAACTAACCCAATGAATCTTATTTTTCTCCGCTCCTCCTCCCCATAAGAACTTAGACATGATTGAGTTGAGTTTAGAAGTTACGGATGATGGAATTTTGAATATAGACAAGTAGTAAGTAGGAAGAGAACAGAGAACCGATTTAATCAAAACTAGTCTCCCTGCCAAGGAAAGGGTGGCAGCTTTCCAACCTGCTAGTTTGTTGTTAAATTTTGAAACAACTGGATCCCAAAGAGCGGTTGAATTCCGTGTTGCACCAAGAGGCAAACCTAGGTAGTCAGAAGGAAATTTCCCCATTGCACAGCCAATAGACGACGCCCACTCCTCCACCTCCTCTGTAGCCGTATTAACACCAAATAGCTTGCTTTTCTTAAGATTCAACTGCAGACCAGACACAACTTCAAACACTCTTAAGACCCTTTTAACATTTGAAATTTCCATTTTCGAAGCCCCACAGAAAATAATTAGGTCGTCTGCAAATTGCAGATGAGATAAGTTGAAAGCAGTCTCATTCCTCCCAATATGCAGACCAGAAAACAGTCCATCAGAGACAGCCTTTAAGAGCAAAACATTTAGGAGTTCCCCAACTAAGTTAAAAAGCAAGGGCGAAAGAGAACAGCCCTGGCGGAGACCCCTAGCCATAGGAAATTCCTGAGAAGGTACCCCATTTATCAATACTGAAATAGAAGCAGTAGTAACACATTGTTTTATCCAACTTCTCCATTTAGAACCGAAACCCATTTTCTCCATAACCTTAAAAAGAATAGACCAATCCACAGTGTCGTAAGCCCTTCTAAAATCCACTTTAAACACACAACCTTTAAGTCCCTTTTTCCTCCAGAAATCAATCCCCTCATTGGCTATAAGAGAACAATCCAGAATTTGACGACCTGGAATGAAAGCAAACTGCATAGGGCTTATTACATCGGAAATGCAATTCCTTAATCTCCTCGAAAGACATTTTGAGAGGATCTTGTACAAACCTCCTACAAGGCTTATAGGTCTATAGTCATCTAATCCACCAATATTGGCCACCTTGGGGATAAGAGTAATGAAAGTATGATTTACTCCATGTTCCCAATCTTTCCCTAAATAAAAGTTATGAAAGAATTTCAGAATATCAACCTTAAGAACAACCCAAAATTTCTTGAAGAAGCCCATATTAAAACCATCCGGGCCGGGAGCTTTGTTGCTATCACATGATTGTAGAGTCTCCCATATTTCTTCCTCCGTGAATTCTTTTTCCAGAATATTACTTTGCTCCACTGAAATTTTTGAAAAATTCATCTTCATATCTTCTACTTCCAAAGTAGAACTAGAGTTGTAAATTCCAAAAAAATGGTCTTTGACACAAGCTTTGATGACAGATGGATCTTGGGTTATCCCTCCATTGACATTCAAAGCATACATGGAATTCCTCTTTCTCCTAATCAACGCACAAGTATGAAAAAATCTTGTATTGCGGTCCCCTTCTTCCACCCATCTAGCTCTCGACTTTTGAAACCATATCTGTTCTTCAATCTTATACAACCTCCATAATTCTGATCTCATATTGTTCAAATCTGATCCTCTGTCCCAACCATATGTACCTTGCCTCTGCTGCTGGTTTACCTCTTCCAAATGAATCCTCTTTTCTAAATCTGTAATCTCTACAGAAGGAAAATGGTCTCTCTTCCCCACCCATTGTTTGATCGACAGTTTAGTAGATTTCAGGATAGATAGAATTCCTGCTTTCCTCTGATCAGACTTGCATTCTTTAACAGTAGACTCTACTAAGTTCTGGAAACCGTCCTCTTCCATCAAATAATTAAAGAGTTTGAAGGGTTTCTTCCCCCAACTGACCCCCTCATTCTCCAGAAAAACATCATTATGATCTGACACTGACCTTGGCAGCAAGTATTGTGTAACATCAGGAAATGCTTCTAGGAAATGAACATCAACGAGGAACCTGTCCAGTCTAACATAGGTGGGTAAATCCTGGTTGTTACACCACGTGAATCTGCCCCCATGTAAAGGTAAATCGATTAACCCTGTTTGTTGCAGAAACTGGCTGAAAATCCTTATTGAACTTCTGTTTGGAGCTCTCCCCACCTTTTCCTCTTCAGAGAGATGCACATTAAAATCACCTCCCACACATAAAGGGATATTCAGTCCACAAATAAAAACAGCTAACTCTTCAAAGAAGCTTGCTTTCTCTTCTTCAATACTAGGCCCATAAACATTAATAAAACCACACCTAAACTGTGAAGTTCGAAACTTTCCAAAAACTGCAATAAACCTCCTGTTTATAATAAGATTGTCAACTTCAAAAGAGCACTCATCCCAGCAACTCAATAGCCCTCCAGCAGAACCCACTGCTGGAGATTCTGCAAAGCCTTGAAGAGTATTCAAACCACTTCTCCTTAAAAATTGTCTCTGAACCTTCTCCACTTTAGTTTCTTGCAATAGAAGAAAAATAGGACGTCTCTTTAAAACTAGATTTTGAACAGCTCTGTGTTTTTCCTTCCTTCCCAAGCCCCTAACGTTCCACGTAATAATGGCTAATTGAAACTTCATCATGATTCCAATAAGTAATAGAAAACCCAATAAGCACCGAAAATCAGACCAGCCTCAACTCCTCCTCCAACTTTATTATTTTCTCCAAAAAGGCTGATTTCCCACCCTTGAAAGACACACCCAATCTATTACTAATTTCCCAAGTAGCTAGAGCTTCCTCCAAAAGAACAGCAAAATCTGAAGAAGAAACTGTTTCAATGCTAACTTGGTCCAAAGCAAGTCTGGTCAACAATCTTTTGGCTCTTCTATTAGAAGACTTAGAGTTGAAAGAATAACTATCTCCTTGTAAGTGCCACCCTTCACCCATACTTTCCAAACTGTTATCAACAACATGCCTTTCCAAAGTAAGCCCCATACAGCCTTCCAAATTAGGTTCTGCAACTGCACTGACCAGCAGAACTGAATTAGTATCCACAATCTTCCCATTTGGGCTCTCTAGAGATTCCTCTTCTCGAGGAACAACAATTTCATCTTTCTCTAACCAATGTCTTCTCTCCCTGGATCTCTTATAGACCCTTTTGAAGCTAATACTTCTTCTCTTTTCCAACGGTTCACTCTTTGTAGACAATGGAGAGTTGGATCGCTCAAGCATTCTTCCCCTGGAAATCTTACTTCCAGAACATAGAATGTAGTCAATCGGCTTTTCCTCTAAATTTGATTCCAATCCTCTAGAACACTTTCTCAAACCAGAAAGTGGCAGACCTCCATTGTTATCTTCCTCTAAGTTTGCAGATTCAACCAGAAACTGCTTCTGGTCCATTTTCCCAAATTTATCCAGCTTAACAAGAGGCCCAGCTGGAATAATTTTAAGAGGTGGAGAACCAAGTGGCCCATTATCTGATGATTGGGCTACAGACCCATCAGCCGAAAAATTTGAAAATCTGCATCCCAAACCCGCGTATTCACCATAATTGTTATTCCCAAGATCCTGACACGCTGACTTCACACCATTAATGCCTTTCCCAACTTTGTTAATCGTTGGGAGTTGAAATTCCTCACCAACTCCAAACAAACCCGTGTTAGTTCCTTGGTCAAACCAAATATCTACCTTTTGTCTGCTGTTTTCTTCTGAACGTTCAGCACTTTCCATGCTATCTGACAGACTGTCTCCAGAAAGTTTCTCTCCAACTTTTCTCTCATCGGAGCCTCCCACCGGCGACTTGTTAAAGGAAACTGAAGAATACTCAAGCACCGAACCCAGCTTAATCTTGACTTTGAACGACCTTCCATAGGATCCAATAGTTATCTCCTCAGGGACATCATAAGGGCTGGCCACCCTAACCAAAATCTTCACCATCGATAGGTCTGTTCTGTTGACTGTATCTTCATGAATCTCTTCCACCAATCCCCACTTTCCTACTACCCGTTCCAAAAAAGAATTTTGCCAACATAACAATGGAACCCCAAACAGATGTACGAGGCAAAAAGCCATTGGAACACCATCATCGTTCAATAAAAGTGCCAATCTATCAAACCAGAAAAATAACTCATCCTTTTTCTCTAGCCATGCATCCATCATTTCTTCCGTCGACTTAAATATAATAACACAAGAATTCCAGACATAACCCCATATGGAAATCTGGACATCAAAACCTTCATTAACTAAGGCCTTCTGGACTAATTCGAACTCAAAAGAATGTTTGATGATCCCCGTTAATGATCTCTTCACCCAACTGGAGCTCTCTGACGGAATATGCATTTCCCAACTATTTTTTATACCTTTCCTCCTGTTGAAACCATCGATCTACCGATCCCTATGGTCCGATGCATTGCTCTTCAATCTATCAGACAGTAAGGCCTCCTTGTAAGATCTTGTATCTCTTACACTCCTGTTAATAACACCTTTCTCTTTGGACCTTGAATGATCTTCTGTGTTCGACCTTGAAGGCAACATCATGGAAGTATTGTTCCCGACTGACCTCACCCTAGCATCCTTGTATCTTGCAGTACCCACTGAAATCCTCCAACCATCAATCATCGAACCATTCAGTTTGGCTATCGCCCTTTTTAGACTTTCCTCATTGCCAAAATGCACAAAAGCAAAAGTAAAGAATTTGTATTTCGGATTCCTTGTTTCTCTGGGAATGAACACTCTGACTACCGGACCGTGAGATGAAAACAACTCCCTTAACTCTCGTCGAGACACTCGTTTACTGAGGTGATCAACGAACGCCGTCCAAACATTCTCTGAAGAAACTTTCCCTCTTCTGCGGCTCCAAATATAAGGGAAACATTGAAAATGCCTATTTGAAATCCATAATCATGTCCGATACTTCTGAGTTGAGACCATTAAATAATGCACTTCTGAGGCCAGTATCTTTAATTTCTTTGATTATGTGTTAAAGCATAAGTGGTGCTTGCAGCTGCTAATGAAAAAGAAACAATTTTATCCATGTACTAGCATGTTTATAAAATTAGAGCTATTGCTTGTTGAACCCTTGTGAAACTACAAATTGGTACAAGCCAAAGTTTGAGAAGTTAAAATGTTTTCTGAAGGATTCTATTGCTTAGTACTACCTTTAGTGAAATTGATTAATCTATGCAATTTGATTTATAGGTATTGATGGTGGATTTGACAACAATGAGCCAGAATATGAAGAAACTCACAACATAGTCATTTTGCCTAGCTATGTAACACTTCCTTTTCCATCTGTGGAGTTGCCTGAGAAGGTATGAATTGTCTCAATTTCTATTTTTATAGAATTTCAAATTAAATGTAGAAATTCTTCATCTCGGAGGAGAATCAGGCTTGTTTATCCCTTGCGAATACTGTAGGTAAGGTTGGCAGTTGATTCTATTTTACTGGCTGAGGGTGCTGAACGGAAAGAACAAGTTGCAGCCTGGACAGCTGATAAGAAGCAAAAAAGTACATATGCAATGGAGTTGCAGCAAATTGGCAATGTTGTTGTTCCCCCATCTGGTTGGAAATGTGCCAAGTGTGATAAAACAGATAATCTATGGTTAAATCTTACTGATGGAATGATCCTCTGTGGGAGGAAAAATTGGGATGGAACTGGTGGTAACAACCATGCCGTTGAGCACTACAGGGAGACTGGCTATCCTCTAGCTGTAAAGCTTGGGACAATTACTTCTGATCTTGAAGCTGCAGGTAATGCTTCCTTATAGTTGTATTTCACGTCTATATATATTTTTGTTTCTGGTGTCATTTTAGTAATTTTCCGTCAGTCCAGAATTGTTATAAACTCTCTCTGCTCTCAGATACTGATGAAATTTCAACCCTAGATATCTTTGTATTGAAAATGTGGTTTTTGGCACTGAAAGTCTGAAATACAGTTTGGTGATTATTTTTCTTTTGAGCTTTGGTTTTGACATTTGTCAGAACTTACCTTGGGTAACTTATTCTGGCATTGCAGATGTTTTCTCTTACCCAGAGGATGATAGCGTTATAGACCCACATCTAGCAGAGCATTTGGCTTATTTTGGTATTGATTTCTCATCATTGCAAAAGGTTAGTTTTTTCTTTTGATTAATTATTTGCTGCTTAGTGTTGTCCTTAAAACACACATAGATAGTGATGCTATAGTTGCATTGGCAATTTTGTTATGCAATTTTACTTTTGTGTTTATTATCCCTACCAATTTCATTTTTGTTCTTGCATTCTGGAAGTGGTTCCGAATCCTTAAGTTTGATGCCCATTTTGTGATATGTTAGTGCATATAAACTTTTCAATGTAGTTATTACATTTGAATGATGACATTTGCTAAAAATCAATGTTTTTAAAACCGGACCGGACATTGAACCGGTGAAGGTACTGGTTCAACCGCGGTTGAACCGGATTTTATATAAAATAATATTTTTTTTAATTTTACATAATATTCAAAGCAATATTAATATAAATGTAACACTTTTTTTAAGTTTACAATATTAAAAGGTATAAAAATATCACAAGTCATAACATATATAAATTAAAAACCATAAAATCAAGTGAAACAAAATGATTCAAATCAACTACAACATAATATTTAAGGTAAAACATATTAAATAATAAATATAATTATATAACTATAATCAAAAAAATAAAATTGGGGCTTAAAAAAATCATAATAAATGATGTCATTTGGTTTAATTTTAAAAAAAAAACAATCTCACATGGCTAAGAAACATAGAAGAGCATCCCAAAAGTTTAAAGAGTAAAAATATGAGAACAAAACAATCCCACATGGCTAAGAAACATAGAAGAGCATCCAAACTTACTTCTATAAATAATAGAAGTAATTTGATATTCAAAATCATGGAGCCTTTTGGTGAGCACAGAGCGAACTATTCTTTCGCTTCAATTGAGCTCAAATTTTAGGCTTCAATCGAACTTCTAATTTTTTTTTGAGTTCGAGCCTTTTCGAGTTCAAGTTTTAATATTATATTTCGAGTTCGAGTTGAACTTGATAATTTTTAGCTCGTGAGTTTTTGAGTTGAGTTGAGCTTACTTTTAAAGTTTTCGAGTTCGAGTCGAGCTCAGCAATACTTGAATTTGACTCGGCTCGTTGAACAAACGACGTCGTTTGATTTAATTTTTTTTTAAAAGAAAAAAAGTGAACCGGCTGTTCAAACCGGTTTTGCAGGTTCAAACCGGTTTTGCAGATTCACCTCGGTTTTACCGGTTTTCAGCCGTTTCATTGCCATACCGGTTTTGTGAGGTAACCGGACCGGACAGGCCACTGGTTCACGGTTCAACCGGTTGAATCGGCCGGTCCTGTCCGGTTTTGATAACCATGCTAAAAATGAATTGCGTCGGCCTTAAGGTCTGTAATGTTTATTGCAGTTGGAGTTTCCATAAAACAAAACATTTAAGTACAACAATATTCTGTATAAATCATGACAGACAATAGCTTGACTTGTAAACAAGTGATATCATTACTGTAGAATGTAAGTTTCAAAGCTTACCAGAAAAAATAAGGAGATTGAAGTGTTTATAAATGATTTAGTGCCGTCTGATTAGATATTATAATCTCTATCTGTTTCTAGACTGAAATGACAACTGCTGAAAGGGAGCTTGACCAGAATACCAACTTTGATTGGAATAGAATTCAAGAAAGTGGGCAGGATGTGGAACCAATTTTTGGACCAGGTTATACAGGTCTTGTGAATCTTGGAAACAGGTAATGTTGATTGTGAATAGGGCGAAGGATACTGGTAACAAAATAATAATTTGATGTTTCTGATTAACAAAATTTGTTCTCATGCAGCTGCTACATGGCAGCAACCATGCAAGTTGTGTTTTCAACGCAGTCATTTTGTAGACGGTAAGTTATAAAGCTAATATCGTGAATACACTTTAAATTTTGATTTTAGTTTTAGCAAAGTGTAACCCCTAAACCCGACCTAGAAGAAATTAGGTCGAATCTAGAGTCACGAAGAAACTTGTCCCTTACGAAAACCATGCTCGATTTAAAACTTAAAAATTAGTAATTAGTATTATAGAATTATTCCTCAAATTCCTACTTTAAAATTTTATTGAAAACAAATGTCCGAGAAAAATCAGATATAAATGATAAATATTCAGAATTAATTATAATGTCCGAAGTCCCAATTACAAATAATAAAAATAATTCTGAAAATAAATAAATGTTTGATAAAGGAAAAGTAGAATAGAAATCATACTGAAAGAGAGGAACTAAGGGGTGTAAGCTAATAAACTTAGTATATCTCTAAAGTGCAAACAAACACAAGTCATTGCATATTCTGAATCAATCAACATTAATCATAGTCTGAATCATATAGTGATAATCAAATATTTGAATATTATGCAAATGCTCATGCACCCACCCATATTCCTATCCACCAGTCGAAGAGAGGGTTTCCTAGAACCAGACTATCTATAATCAAACCACACCATAACAAGTGGGGTCTGCCACAAGGCAGAGACCTCTGAATCCAAAAGTGACAATCAACCCGTCGAGTGAATGCACTGAATTTCTCTTATCAAAATTCGTCCTAATATGACATGCAAATGACATACATATGCGATGTCCGATCCGATCCGACTAACACATCCGAATAACACATATTGGAATAACATATATCCGAATAACACATATTTGAATTCTGATATGATTCGAACGTAATGGCTACATATACAAATAATTCAAATGCATCTCATAAATTTTGAATCCGACATATCAACGCATTTCACGTAACATTTTTCAAATAAATACAAGATAATTAACAATCACAAATCAGTCATACTCTCATGTTAACAACAAATAAGTCGAACAATCAAAACAACACAAAGAATTTAGCATTGAGCAGAGATGCCTCGGTACAATAACTCTAACGACGATCTACTATTCCTACGGTCAGCTCTATCGAAGGGTCGAACTGAATCAACTCCTGTGTTGGTTCAAAGTGAGTCGGTAAGGGCGGAGGAGGCGATAATTCCGATTCCGAGTCAAAGTCTCCAAATCTTGAACGGAAATGTGTGACAAAGGAAGGACGAAGAATGAAGGGTTGCGGTCGAAGAAGGCTATTACCGGTGACCTTGATTTGCTACGGAGGCGGCGATGCGGCAAGGAGATGAGAGGAGGAGAGAGATGAACGGCGCAAGTGAAAAGAAATAAAGAAAAAAAAAACAATCCGCTGAATCGTGAAATAGAGCCAAGGGTTTGAACATAAAAGAAATTGGGCAAATTACATCACAAATCCTTGTACTCTTTAGGGTTTTCGAAAATGGCCTAAAGTTTCACTCCTATTGCAAAAATAGTCACCGAAATTTACATTTAAGCCCTCATAATTCCCAACAGATTCAATTTGATCCTAAACTAAAGTTAGGGATTAAAAGAAAATTTTCTAAATTTTAGGGTTTTCAAATTGGGGTAAAATTGGGGTGTTCACAAAGCTTAATTGGAAGTTCTCATGCTTATTTGCTTCTCTTGCCTCCTCTCTCTTTCCTCATATTGTGGTCTCAGATATTATATGAACCAAAACTTAAAAATGGCTTTTGAGACAGCTCCAGCTGATCCAACTGTAGACCTCAACATGCAATTGTAAGTTTCTTATTCTGGTTACTAATTCCTTATTTCAATATGTTGTGTGTTAAAATAGTTCCTACAATATTGGTTGTTATGATGATGTTTTGTTGCTGTCTTTCTTGACAAAGATCGTGTGGTGATCCTTTATGTTATTTTATATACAACGCAGTGACGCACAAAGATTCTCTTCTTATTCTGATGTTTGTTGTTGTTGAACTTATTGATTTGGTATTTTCCCTTCCTGCTCTGTTCTGCTATGCATTTAGTAAGTAGTTTGATACTTTTGCCTCTTCTCTACTCCAATGATCATGTAACCGTTTTGGTTGTGTGGCAGAACAAAACTGGCACATGGTTTGCTTTCTGGGAAATATTCTCTTCCAGCATCAGAGGTACAGTTGCCATATCAATCTGTTTTTCTTAGCAAAGTTGTTTTTTACCCTGATTAATGAATTAATTGATTTTTTTAATCATCCAGAGAGATGGAACTGCTACACCTTCAGTAAAAGATGCTGTAAGCTTCCCATTATGTATTTTGATCTAGGAGATTCTTACTTCTTAGATGATATAATGGATTTGCCAAGTATATTGTGGTACAAGTATATGCGCAACCAGAAATTTAGGTGTTTAGCCATAGAATCTGTGTCTCAAATCATCAGTAATTTTATTATCATTCCTACATGATATGTTTGAACAATCCTGACAGTTCTGTTAACCTTTTTTCATTTGTTAACCTTCTGAAAATATCAGAAACAAGAAGGGATTCCTCCTCGCATGTTCAAAGCAGTTATTGCAGCCAGTCATCCTGAGTTTTCTACCATGAGACAACAGGTATGCCAACTCTACTAGTTGTACCATGGAATAATTATTTGGTTTCTAGCATTAACCTGAATTTGCGACATTTCCAGTAATCACAAAATGGTTCTTTTAGATTCCATAAAGAAAATGATGTAAAAGTTATAAGGATAGATATGGCAATGTGACTAGCTGACAGTATTTGTCATTGCAATAGGGCCTGTGTGTGTTAATCCTCTCATTGCACAGTAGGATGTGTCTTGGGGCTCATAATCTACCCTATATGTATCCATCAGTTACTTATATGGACACTTGAATTGTCTGTAGGATGCCTTGGAGTTCTTCCTTCATTTTCTTGACCAAGTTGAACGTTCTAATGCTGCAAAACCTGAACTGGATCCCTCAAGGAGTTTCAAGTTTGGTGTTGAAGATCGTATCTTGTGTTCATCTGGGAAGGTTGCTTATAATAAAAGGCTTGACTACATTCTCTCTTTGAATATTCCACTGCACGAAGCTACTAATAAACGTAAGTTTTGGTTTCTATATATATATATATGTTTGTGTGTGTGTCTGTATGTTTTGTTCATATCTCTGTTCTTCTGTTTAAAAAGTTAAATTCTAATGCCTTTTTCTCTGAGCATTCAGAAGAGCTGGAGGCTTTTAACAAAATCAAAGCTGAAAAGATGTCAGAGGGGAAGGATGTGTAAGTTCCAATGATCTTATATGGTACTTTTAGCCTTCTTTGGACCTTTTTCTTATGTTACCTTGTTTTACAGATCCAACGATGAAATTGTTCGTCCAAGGGTACCTCTAGAAGCATGCTTAGCAAACTTTGCAGCTCCTGAGGAGATACGCGATTTCTATAGCTCTGCATTGAAGGCTAAGACAACAGCTCTCAAGTAAGATTTGTGCTCTTTAATGGGGTTGTCAGCCCTTAGGTAATGTATACTATTGAAGAAGGGTCTGAGATAAGCATATAGTTCCCATTAAAGAAAGGATAACAATATAGTTTTTTTTATAATAAGGAAGGCCTCATTAAAAACCCCCTTCATATCCGTCAAGCAACAAGGACTTAATGAACATTGGAAGGAGGAAAAGAGTGCCTTAGAAATTTTATTGTATAAGAACCAAGTACAATAACATTACAAGACCGCCAAAATCCTTGGCCGCCCGCAACACTATAGTTAACTGATGGTGTTTAATCAATGGCTGCTGACTAGCAACCTTAGAGTATTCTTTTGATAGCACTGTATAGTGTTTGGAGGCTTATTGCTTCTCTTTTGTATTTTACACAACAGGACTGCTGGTTTAACTTCATTCCCCGATTATTTGGTATTGCACATGAGGAAGTTTGTCATGGAGGCAGGCTGGGTTCCTAAAAAGCTTGGTACGTTGATGTGATGTTGCTACTACTTACATTGCATGTTACTTTGAATCGATATTCATCATGTGTATTGTTCGTTCAGATGTCTACATAGATGTTCCCGACATCATAGATATAAGCCATATGCGCAGCAAAGGCCTTCAACCTGGAGAAGAACTGTTGCCAGAGGCTGGTATGTGAATTAATGGATTCCGTGAATGATAATTGAATTGAGAAGATGATGTAAAAGAGAATTATTGATTTGTAATTTTTTTTATTGGCATCTATTATTTCTACTGCATATAGTTCCTGAGGGTGAGGTGGAATCAAGTCAGCCTGTTGCCGATGATGCAATTGTTGCCCAGCTTGCCTCAATGGGGTTTAACCAGCTTCATTGTCAGAAAGCTGCCATAAACACTTCTAATGCTGGTGTGGAAGAGGCCATGAACTGGTTGCTTTCTCATATGGATGATCCAGGTATTCGGAATTTGGCATTATAAGCATAATTTTGAACCTTTCTGCAAAGGATCAGATAGCATCATATCCAAGTGGTAATCATTGATCTATCTTTTCAGATATCGATGCTCCTATCTCCCATAGTGCGAAAGGTGCTGAGGCGTCTATCGACCAGTCAGCCGTTGATACTTTGGTCTCATTTGGTTTTCAAGAAGAGATTGCTCGAATGGCATTGAAGGCATCGGTAAAATCTACGCAGCATTTCATGTCTTTTACGGGTTTGGAACTTTTTCCACATCTGTTTTCTTATGCTCGGAAAATTAACGTTCTTACAGGGTGGCGACATTGAAAAAGCAACAGATTGGATATTTAGCAATCCCAATGCCTATGCTTCTGCATCATCTATGGGTACGGATACCGCAAGCAACAGCACGCCTACTCCGGTTGATGCAGGACTGCCCGACGGAGGAGGAAGTGAGTCATCTTTTTTCGAATCTCAACTTGTCTTGTTTGTTTGTTGTTTTTCACGCTAGACTTCTTACCCTGCAATGTTTGGTTAATGCAAGGATACCGGCTTTTCGGGATAGTGAGTCACATCGGAACCTCGACTCAGTGCGGCCATTATGTCGCTCACATCCTGAAAGATGGTAGGTGGGTGATATTCAACGATGATAAGGTTGGTGCTTCAATCAATCCACCCAAGGACATGGGTTACTTGTACTTCTTTGAGAGGATCAATGGCTGAATTTCACTTGGGACACTTTAGGTACTCCTTTGGGTCTTTTATAGAGGTGGCCAATAACATTGCACTTCCATACATTTTAATCCCCATGCTATGATTTTTTTTCCTTAATACAAATTCACAGTTTTTGTTTTCTTTCAATTTTTGATGCTTTGTTGGGTAGTTATTACTACGCTTGCCACATTTGTTTTGGTTTAAAGGTGTATGAAGCCATCAAACTTTCAAAAATATCAATTAAGTCACTTGAACTTTTTATTGTACCCAATTGAACCTTTGGAATTGAGAAATTAAATTAAACCAAAATCGAGAAATTGAATAGCACACTTGAATCGATAAATCAAATTAGTTATCAATTTTAACCATCAAGTGTTAGCAGTTTTTTTCTTAAATATTATTAATTGTTTTCTCAATAATAAATCTATGAAAATATCACTTGATAGTATGTGATATTTAATTCTATAAAAACGTTACAACTCCTCCATGTCTCGTCGAGCGTACAATAATAAAGCAGAACTCGAGGTGGTTCAAAGCTCCATCCCCATACAGCGAATAGAGTTTTTTCTTCTTCTAATTTTTCATATCGAGCTGGAGGAGTCATTGGGCTTCAGCAGGCGAGTAAGCAAGGGTAGTGACCGGTACATCAGCAACGTTGTTGGCTTCTCTGTTTATGTAAATAAAACTGATGCTCCACTGTTGTTGACGTGATCGGAATCAACGTGTAAGAGTCAATTCACAGGATGGAGCAGGAGTGAAGAAAATGACTTCACTACTGTCCATTTTGATAGTAATTCGTCTGAATCCATGGTTCCCGACAATATTCAATCCGTCGAAGAGAACCCACAGGATCGGTCAACGCTACGAAAATAACCCAAAAGCCAGGTCCCATCAGAATCTCTAAAAATGCCATCACCTAACGCATCCATAGAAGAGATGTTGACGGCTCCCTATTGAAGAGGGAATGATTTGAGTGAACGTCATCTCGGCGTTCACTGGTCATAATCTATTATGACCTTTAATAAAAGATAGATTGTTAATTCTATCTAGAGGAAAAAAAGAAGAAGGATACTCCCAATGAATCTAAAATCTATGATTTAAGGGAATAAAGATGAGCAATTTATTCAACCGACCAAATATATTTACTTCTCTATTTATATGGTTTAAGTGCGAAGTCTTAATTAAATAGTATAGAACCTTTAGGTTTAGGATTAAGTCCGCACCCATATGTAAAATGTATATAAGTCAAACTTATAATGAATTTCGATTGTCAACAGTTTTTTTTAGTAATTGAATAAAAGTTATTGGTTGATATATTCTCTCTCCTTTAGGTTATAGGATCAAATACCGATTAGAAGCAAAAATTCTCTTTCTACATAATGAAAAAATAATAATAATTTGTTGATTAATTCAAAATTATATTTTATTAATCAAAATTTATTTAATTAATTATTGAATTTTAAATTTTTTAATTTGATTAATGATTAATTTTTTAAATTAATTTAATTTTAAATAATTTAATTTAAAATAATTTAATTTAATTATTCGATCAAATTAATTGTTTTAACATCTTTATACATACATATAACAATAACAACTAAATAATTATCATATAAAACAAACAAAATAATCAAGTAGACTTATGGGCTGTTTGTTTGGCTCTAAATGGAACCATTCAGTGCTGATTGCTGAATCGTTCAGCATTCAGCGTGTTTGTTTCTCACCTCTGAATGAAGACTGTGCTGAATGATTCAACATTAAAGTAATTCTGAATGATTCAGAGCCATTATCAAACAACACGTCACATTCATAACTAATTCATACAGAGCATCTAAATTATTTAGGCCATCGAATCATTTATCACTTAATCATTCTGAAGTAAACAAACAACCCCTTAATATAAAAAGAAAATAATTTTAGCGTGTTTTGGACTACTCAATATATTAATGAGCTCTCTTATTGACTCATATCACTATATTTTTTTAGAGTTTACCTAAATTATTTGAAAACCCGTAAAATTCAATCCTAAATTCAAAACGCTAGAAATCATAAACAACAATGATCTATAATATCCACTACTCCATCAACATAGAATAAAGATATATTGTCCGTTTTCTCTTTCTCCATCTTCATGCCATTGAGATTTAAAAGAAGATATTTTCTCATCAAGAAATTAAAAAGAATTTGAAATCATGATATTTAACGCGCACAAAAAAAATTGGGGTCAATTCATAGTATTGTTTTTTATAAAAGGTTCGATCATAATATCGTTAAGTATTAACGATAGAGTGACCAAAATAAAAATAAAGCAAAAGTTTAATAAATTAATTAAAATTTTTAAATTTGAGTGATATAATGAAAGTAAAAAAGAAAATTAAGTGATGAAATTTGTAATTTATCCTAATAATAAAGAGACGGAAGCCTTGTTCGTTTTTCAGATCCAGACTGTCGATTTAATTGCCATCCTACGGTCATCATTCACGATCTTCGTACTCTCTTCCCATTGGATGACTTCTTCACGCACTCCTCTATATATACGCAAAATAAGCGGCAAAAGTTTTCACTGATTTTTTTCCCTCCTCCTGAACGCTCTAGTTTTCATGTTTTAATTGTTCGCTTCGGATACAAATGGCGGGTAGGTATTTTTGTCGATTTAATTGCCATCCTACCACGTGTCCTAGTGATGTTATATTCTATCACCATTTCAGTGATGTTATATAATTTTAAGGTATTTTTTTTTGATAATTTTATGATTTAATCTCTAATTTTATTATTTCTTCAATTCTTTCATCATTTTCAATTTATTTTTCTATCAAATTTAAATAATATGCTCATACTTTTAAATTATCGTACTTTCAATTTTATTTTTAATTACAAATTTTATATTTTTATTTAGTCCATTAATTACTCTTTTTTTTTTTCAATTCATCTTTTATTTTTTTAATTCATCTTTTTAACTTAATTTTATTTAAAGGAACTAAAGGATCTTGAATGGGCTGACCAGGAAAGATTTCACCACATTTGTTCTTCCATCTAGCGTATTGCACCCTGAGGTACAGAAGTGAGAAAACAACACTCAGAACATGGCCTCTTGACAATGGATTACCTTCGATGCTGCCGTATTTGATCCCTTTCGTCAAATGTACTCTCGGGATCGTAACAGCCAAGGAGAAACTCCCCTAATTGATGGATGGATCCCCTGTATTTGCCAACCAAATAATAATATTAACAATAAATAGAAACTAAAACAAATAAGCATATATATATATGACAAAAGCATAGCCTTACACAACTGGATATCTGAATATGCTCTTCTACATAAAATTTAGAAATAATACAAGTCGGAATATGCAGTTCAGTTGTATTGCTGTGTAATAGATGCGCACACATACACACATTGATAACTGAATTAAATGAAATCTAACACCAGGAACAAAAAATGTTTCGAACATGAATATCCACTTACCCCACGTTGGATTCGACGTAGAGTTTTTCCGATATCCAGATGTCCATCCTGAGAGAATGCAGCTTGCCATGAGTTTTACCGGGCTGCAAAAGCAAATAAACAAGAAAAACATCTTTATTGAATCAAAGCACCATCTCTTATACAATTACTGCGGAACTCAACTTCATTCACAAAATCAACAAAGATAGAAAAGAAAACACATCCTTCTTCAAAATGGAAGCCGAAATGTCAGCAAAGGGAAGAATTGACTTCGATTAAGTCACGTGGACTCAGAGTATCGGTAGTCAACACTGGTATGTGCCCACGAGTTTGACTAGACTTTGAATTAGCAAAATCAGCTGGAAAAGGCTCCAAAATTAGACATGTTTATTAAATTCTACAATTAATGATATAATTTTATAAAAATCCATTCATATTTAGATACAATCAACTTTTCTAAATACATTCTTCTAGTCAGCCAAAGCACTTCAGCATGAACACCGATATCGATCAATACACTTACGTCTATTCTGCAAGTCAAATTTCCATTTTCATCTCTATTATTATCCGTTTCAGCTTAAAAAAATCCATACGGTCAATGATGATCGAATCGAACCGAGGAAAGGTTGGATCGAATTTCTTCTCAACTATACTCTTGACTCGGTTGAATGTAAGATACGAATGTATATCCAACATGGGTATACTCCATTTTTTTTCTTCTGAAGAGCTAGACAGTGAATTGATCAAGATAAGAAACCACAATCTACATCAAGCTCATTGCCTAAAACATTTGAGAGCACCATTTTACATATGTATAAATTCAAGATCAGATCCCCTATGGAATAAATTCAACTAAGCTAAAATCCAATCAAATTAGAGCCAATAATAAAGCAAAAGGAAAGCTTTATGTTCTTTCAAAAAAGATCCAGCTTTTCAACCAAGAAGTACAAACCTTGATCTTAAATCTGGTTCTAGGAACATCAGTGCATTCAGGCCGGACTGCGTAATAAGAATCAGCAGGTTCTCCAGGAGCTCCCCACATTTACCAAGAAAAAAAAATATTATTCATCTTTTTGCAATAAAAATGGATTTTTCTCTATTTTGCTGCACCACCACCACCAAAAGATAGAACCTTTGAAGATAAGATCAAATACCTAGAAAGAAAAATCAATGGAAGTGAAAGAAGGTTCAGAAAATGGAGGGTGCCAAGTCAAGTTCTTCAAAGAACCAAAAAGTCTTATATTTTCCTTTAAGGAAAATAATATATATATAAAAGAAACTTAATTTTGGGGGCCGAGCTGATCAAGGGTATCTTAGGTGCGTGGTGGTGCTGGTGGTTGTGGCAGCCATGATCTATCTGCTCACAGACAAATTGGAATTAAACGCTGTTTTAGGCGTGTATTTTATTAGTCTTCTCCTCTTGTTTCTCTGTCTTTTCGTCTAAACTTTTAACTCTCTTTATTTTTTAGGCTTAATATAATATAAGTGTTTAAATCATCTATTAAATTTAAATTAATCTAACTTTGTTCAGTTTGTATCGGTGCTAGAATGATGTTTTTAATTTTTATTTTTTGGGTGCTATTCAGATAAAATTGCCAATAATATCATTTTATTTTCCTTCGAATTCTAATTCAATTCCCATTATCCACGTGTCTCCTAAAATAAGAATAAAATGCAAAATGATCATCGAGTATAAGATATTTTATTTAATCATTCGACTATTAAAATTATAAAATAGTCACCGATAATTTATATGATTCCAACTCATCATTTTTGTTGAAAAATTGGAAGATGTCTAAACTGGACGTTAATATGTTGATTGAGATATGATAAATTTTGATCTCTTAAATTATATTTTTTTGATTGACTCTCCATATAAATTACGCAGTCGAGTTAGTGCTTAAAACATTATGTCGTTAAATCAGCGTAAAGACGGTCCTAATAGATATCATTAAAATATAATTTTATTATATCTCAATTAACATGTTAACATCTAACTTAGGCAACCATTAATTTTTTAATAAAAATAATTTTAGAATATATAAATAATTGGATGATTATTTTATAAATTTTAATAATAAAAAATTTAATAAAATAATATTATATAATAAAATAATCATTTTATAACTTTTTAATAATTAAAATACTTAAATAAGGAATTATTTATATAATTTACTCAAAAATAAAAGAGAATCGACTACTTTTAGAGCGACCGACCCTCTTTATAAAACTTCGATTGCCGAGCTAAAATTAATCTAGGGTTTCCTCTCTTCGAAATCTCCCAAATAACATCTCTTTGTTTTATCGAACATGATGCAACGACCACGAGCTGGAGGTGCGGCTCCGCTGCAGTCTATGGCAGCTGACCAGTCTCAAACCCATCAGTACCAGCAACATCCGCAGTCGCAGTCGTGGATGATGATGCCTCAACAACAACCGGTTCCTCCACATTCTGGTTGGACTCCTCAGCCCGTTCCTCCGCCAACTCAGATGCAGCAGTACTCCACCGTTTCTGATACTGCCGGCTCCGGCGAGATTCGATCTCTCTGGATCGGCGATCTTCAGCCGTGGATGGATGAGAATTATCTCATCAGTATCTTTGCTCAAACTGGAGAGGTAACTGATTTTTTCGTTTTATTATTAAAATTAAAGAAGTCCCAAGTAAATGGAAAAGAATTAAAACCATTGTTGTTTAGGATGGCGCATGCTATAGTCTAATATTATTCTTTGAAGTTAATGTTTTTAGTTTTTAATAATTCAAATATTATTCCTTTCTGTAATTGAATGAATTTCTTTCTTTTGCTTTTAGGAAAGCAAAAACTATATAGTAAAAGTTACAATTCAACAGAACTTAATCTTTTGTTTTTTAGATGGTTTCGGCTAAGGTGATTAGGAATAAGCAAACGGATTTACCTGAAGGATATGGATTTATTGAGTTTGTGTCTCGAGCTGCAGCTGAGAGGATTTTGCAGTCATATAACGGTGTACCAATGCCAAGTGCCGAGCAGAATTTCAGGTTGAATTGGGCATCTCTTGGATCCGGGGAAAAGAGGCAAGATGAGGGTCATGACTACACAATCTTTGTTGGGGATTTAGCTTCAGATGTTTCGGATTATGTGTTACAAGAGACTTTTAAATCTGTTTACCATTCTGTTAAGGGTGCGAAAGTGGTTACTGATAGGACTACAGGACGTTCAAAAGGTTATGGATTTGTGAGGTTTGGTGATGAAGCTGAACAGATTCGTGCCATGACCGAAATGAATGGGATGTATTGTTCAACGAGGGCAATGCGGATTGGACCAGCTTCTAATAAAAAGCCTGTCACTGGTCAGCAGTATCAGGAAGGTACTCCCCTGTGGTTTATTAATGTTCTGTATTCATCTTGAATTCCATATGAATTTGCTTGTTGTGTATAGGTTTTGTTGACCACAATTATGCTAGAGTACTTTGACATGCCAAGTTGAATGGTAGTTGGTTAACTTTTTCTTGCAACCTTTAATTTTTTAAGGTGCAGTTGTCTCATTTTTGTTATAATTCGAGTACTTTAAGTTATGCTCTTGAAGATTGGCGGAATTTACAGAAATTCGTTTCATTCCAGTTTACCTTTGTAAAGTTGGGTACATCTAATTATATTAGAACAGACAAAAACTTATATAAAACTCATGTTGTCTTAAAGCAGGACACCCAGAGGCTCTCATTTTGGGGGGCCTGGAAGTGATATCAACTGAAATGATTCCACTTTAATGCGTGGCCTCATTTTAGGTCAGTTACTTTGTTTATGTCGTAAGCCTCATTTTTCTCCTGGCAGTATTTGTCCTTCGTTCGCAAATTAATTTTCCAGTTCCTTATTAAGTTTCCAGTCAAGTTCTATTTGTTTCAGTTTCCCAACATGTTTCCTTTATCTCTTGTTTTACTTTTTTTTACATGTCCTTAAACTTCTTTCGTAATGGATCAGTTACCTTTCAGTACTTAACATATGGTTACACAGTCCTTTTTGTGTCTTTTAAAGTTCCCATGCATGTTATCATGCACCATTATGTAAGGAACTTTGGCACAAGTTTTATTCTTTTGTATTTCAATGGGGGCTGGTTTTTAAAATTTTAGTAACCAATTTGTCCTCATTCTATTGTTCTGTTGCACTTGAGGACAAATTGAGTCCAGAAAGAAGCCGAGAAGTTGTAGTTGAAGTCCTTTATTCAGTTACTGGATTTAACCTCAATGGAAGTGATTGAGCCATCCTTCTATGTTACCTAAGCCTAAATAGTGGCTCAGATGCTAATGAAACAATACTAATTGCCTCTTGAAGCCAATTTATTTTCCACTTTTCATATGAGGTTGTAATTATTTCAAGTTTAGTCAATTTTCTTTGGTCCCTGATATGTGCTTCATCTTGCCATTATTTTGCTACAAATAGACCTGAATGGCATGCAGAGAAAGTTAAAGCTTTGTTGAAAGATATTGTTGAAGTTATGGGAGAATAAAGAAGAGAGAAGTACTTCTTCTCAATTAAGGAGAAAAGATAGCTTTCTGATTTCATTTTCTCATCCCCTTTCACCCGAAGGCTATAAGAGAAACTTTAGTTGTTCCTTGAGTTTAATGTGATTAACATATTATTTTTCAGCGATTATTGAATTTTTCTAATTTATACTTTTTTCTTCGCCTGGTGATAACAAGTCTCGATGTTCATGTAACCCAAAGGATCTGGTGGGTTGGATTTTTGTTCTTTTCCATGCCATGGAGGGAATTAGTTTGAACTTTGAACTGCTTAAGAGAAACTTTAGTTGTTCCTTATTTGAATGCATTATTATTATTTCCAAAAATGTCTAATTTGAGTTTACAGAAGCAATGATGCTAACACTTCATTGCATGATATCTGTAATCAGGCTTGGAGCTTTCAGAGTTAAAATGAAATATGTTCTTTAGATGATTCTTTTTCCCCGTGACTCAGTTTTGCTTCATTATAGCAATATGAAAATGTAATTCAGGGATGCACTTGCATGCCTTTGCACTTTATTTCATGATCTATTATTATCATCCCATGCTATGGTAGTTTAAACGTGTGTGTGATTTGCAGCTACTTACCAGAATGTTCAAGGAAATACTGGCGAGAATGATCCAAATAATACCACCGTGAGTAGATTTTATTTAAATTTTAATCTACATTATTTCATGTTATGGCCAACTGAAACCTTACATCCTTAAATGCCAGATATTTGTTGGTGGTTTGGATCCCAGTGTTTCAGAAGACCAATTAAAACAAATATTTAGCCAACTTGGTGAAGTTGTTCATGTAAAAATTCCTGCTAACAAGAATTGTGGTTTTGTTCAATATGCTAACAGGTAAATGTTGAGTACTTTAATGGATTTCAGCATGTGATGTGTTATTGCATGGTATTAAGATATTCGACAACATGTTCTTCAGGGCTAGTGCAGAGCAAGCTTTGCAAGTTCTAAATGGTACCAGTTTTGGAGGAAGGAATGTTCGACTTTCATGGGGCCGAAGTCCTTCGAACAAACAGGTTTTGTATTTAAATTGTAGTTCTTTCGTAATTAAAACCAGACTACCCATATTTCTACAAACTAAGATGGGAACCCACTCGGTTTTCAGGCTCAACCAGATCAAGCTCAGTGGAATGGTGGATATTATGGATATCCTCAAGGATATGAAGCATATGGATATGCACCTCCTCCCCAGGATCCCAACATGTACTATGGAGGCTATCCCGGATATGGTAATTGCCAGCAGCCAGGGGCTTATCAACAACCGCAGCAGGTAAAAGTGACTTGTACAGCATTTGCCGTTCATTCAACAAGTGATTTATTACCATTTCTTTGACATCATAAACAAATTGTGCCTGATTTATTTTGTTTTCTTTGTACTTTCGTAGTGAGCTGCAGTCGCTTTAACCATCATTCGGCCGGGGCACTTGTAGGCTGTGTTGGTTTGATCTGACATGTTTGAAGGTTTGTGAGTTTTTCATCTGTTGTAGAATTCGTGGTGGTTGTTTTGGCTTCTCTTTTCTTGGGTTCTTTCACATTCGTAAACCTCCTCTTCTCAGTTCAACTGTGATACGCTGCTAATGGAGTTCTTTTTTTTATATATAATATATATCTCTAGAGATATTTATATTATACTAGTTGTACGGATTGGTATTTTATAATATTTTTTATATCGTGTTTTAATTATTTTGTGTTACAATATGATTGAAAATCTCTAGGCTCAATTATGTCAGGACAGCTTCACGAGCTTGACCTTCAGTCGAACCCCAGGACACACACTACCCTCTCGAAAACTCGAACCTATATATATTACATTAATGGGTAAAGAACGCAAACGGTCTCGGGTATAGGGTATTACTCTATGAGGTATATCGATTATTAAAAATTATAAAATAGTCCTTTAGTTATTGAAAGTTATTTTGTTGAGACTTGATTATTAAAAGTTATAAAATGGTCACTCGATTATCAATTATGATCTAAACTCGTTATTTTTTTGTTAAAAATAGATGATATTTTGAGTTAAATGTTAATTTGTTGACGTTGATGTGATAAAATTTAATTTTAAATGATTATTATATCTCAATTGTTATGTTAATAATCAATTATGCAATCATCAATATTTTCAACAGAAAAAATGAGATTGAAACCTAATGAATAGGTAGATGATTTTATAATTAGTTATAGTAAATGAAATCTTTAAAGTAACATTTTATAATCAAATTATCATTTTATAACTTTTAATAATTAAATGATTTATTAAAATAATATCCTATAATCGGCGGAGAAGATCATTTGCTTTCTTTATCTTATATTAGTTATATAGAATTTAACAAAATTAATGGTCACTAACGTTATCGTTTGTTATAAAATAATCACTCGATGTGAATAATCGTTAACAAATTGTTTCTATAATAATAGAATATTGACGTGTCACATTAAACAAGCTCAGCATGTTTGATACACCGTTATCTTCTTTTTCTTAAAAGTGATGCAAGTTTAAATTACCATTCTTCTAATGAGCATCTCAAAGCACCAAAATGCACCTACATTATCCTCAAAGAGCACAACAAAAGGAGACACCACGTCACTAATACCTAAGATCAAAATCCAAGCAAAACAGTTAGCATTGGACGTTTGAAACTTAAACCTAAAGTTGGATCTTTCACAGCTTTGCACCAAATAAATAGCAAAAAGGCTAAAACCTTGACAATAACCAATTGTAGGATCGACCCAAGCATAAACAACGAGAATATCAGACAATCTAGCTAAGTTTCTTGTATCCTTATAGAAATCAAGATGACTATCCTTTCTGACCACATCAACAACTGAGAAAATATAAATCTTGTCAGCTAAGAAGAAAAACAAATAAACAAACAGTATCCATCCAATGGAATACAAAAGGAAAAAATGTTTTAAACTGCACGAACAGAAGCTACCTATTTGGTGCAGAGTCCAAAGCCATTCTTCTTCTTCTTCATTATTGCAGAAGAAAATGAAAGGGAGATTGTTGAGTAAGATACATTTAAAGTTACAGAAGCTTATTTTTACATGAAGGGAAGCTTTTTCCATGTTGGCACCTACTTGTTTTTTCTATAGGAACGCGGTCGGTTTATCGATGGTCAGCATCTAGGTCGGGAACGATCAAAATCAACGTGAAAGGTGCAACCGTGCAGGTTCCGTGCGATGTTAATGGGTCTGGTTTACCAACCATTGGTGTGACTGCAAAGAATTGTAGTGGGTCTATTCTTGTCGGTAATGCTCAGCTGGTGCAACCCGAGCAGGTTCCATGCGATGTTGGGATGATTGAAACCCAAGCTCTCTGCAGTGGTGTTCGCCTGACTGTCATCTTTGCTCCTACGACCGTGGTGATTGAAAGTGAATCCCTCAATATCGTCCGCCACCAATGCGTATATCCAGGTAATGACCTTTTTGTGCTTGGATTCCTCCTTGCTGAAGCTTGTGCTCTCTTGGTTGCCATCCTCAAATACGAATTCTAACATGTTCGATGATCGACGAATGGTGCGGCGAACGCTCTTGCACGTTATGCGTCATTACAGTCTACATCCATTGTAGAAAGAAGAAGAAGATAATGGTCCGGTCATGCTAAGTCAGCTGGTTTAACGTGTCATGTCAGTAACAATTGTTAACGGTTGTTAACATTGAGGGATCATTTTGTAACAAACAATAACGTTAATGACCAATTTGTGACTTTTTAAACATTAGTTGTGAAAAAAACACTAATTAAAAAATTAGTGAATATTCACGTAGTTTACCCTAATTTTAATTCTGTAATATATCATCGTCGTCCTTCGATATTTACATTATTTTATAATAAGTTTGAATCATTAAATTTTAGTGTAAACCCTACAAATGGTCATTTTATTTCATTTTTTAAATGTATGGTCACTCGATTCAAAAAATATAATATATGATCATTTTCATTTTGTTTTAATTAAGATGTGGTCCCTGAACGTTAGTTGTCGTGATTTGGATGATTTGGTACGTTAGTAAAAAAATTAATTTTTATTTGAACTCTTAAACTCTAGATAAATTATAAATCATGGGTCTTTTTGTAAACCCAAAATAATTTAGAGATAAAATGTTAATTTACCCATTTTTTATATGTTGTCTTTTCCAAGTTAATCTTCTTCTCCAGATGTAATAAAATCAAATAAAAATATATTTTATTGGAACTTAACACATTAATGTAATGAGTTTTTTTTATATTATAATATTTATCGTAGATCCAAAAAAATTAAAAATGATCTAATGAATTAAATTTTTTATCCGACTGATTTTACTTCGCCTTCGGTGTAGTTTGTATAATTCCAATGATAAGAGAAATGTATATTAGGGTAACGATTTATTAGTTCTCTTAATTATTAAAAGTTATAATGACCCTTTAATTTTAGAGTGTTACTTTGTTTAGTCATCCACTATTGGAAGTTACAAAATAATCTCTCGAATATTTATTATGTTCTAAATTTGTCCTTTTTCTACTAAAATAAACGTTATTCTGGGTTGAAAGTTAATTTGTTTATCGTAATATGATAAAATCTGATATTAGGATCTTGAAACTATCTTATATCAATCATCATGTTAACGACTAATTTAAAAAGTCGTCATTTTTTTAACAAAAAACCAGTTTAGAATATGTTGAATAATTAGGTGATGATTTTATAATTTTTAATAATAGAAGGATTTAGCAAAACAATTTATTATAATTAAAGGATATTTTGTAATTTTTTAATAGTAAAAAATTTATATTGACTTCTGAAAAGCGGCTATTTTTATTTGGCTTAAAACTAAGCGAGCAAATAGCAGATTTTCTCTGTAGTCCATCTGATTCTGCACTTCCTCTTTGACCGATTGGAATTTCTTTTGTCATTCCTATCAACGCATTAGTCATCCGCCAGGTAAATTATCGTTCCCCTTTACTTAAAGCCGAGACCTTTGTTTTTGAAAAAAAAAACTTTGCTTGGTTTGATTTCCCCCCCCCCCACCCCGTTTAATTTTGTTGAAGATATACATTTTAACGATAATGGAGAATTGGGTCACTGAGGCTTGTTGTTTCCTGGCCAGAAGGATGGAAAAAAGCTTCAAACTTGGGATTTTTTTGTTTGAATTCTCTTTAATGGGGTATGGATTTATTTAAGTTTAATTTTGTTTAAGAATGGATTTTTTTTGGTTTATGATTAAATTGGGAAATAGAAGATTGGGTCATTGAAGCTTTGTTGTGCAACAAAAGCTGTGATTTTTGGTTTTTATAGAAATTACATAAATTGTTCATTCTCTAATGTTTGTTTTCTTCTTTGTAGCTTCTGCCGGCGGTGCTTTGAGGTTGAAGGAGGAAATTTTGAGAATTTTGATGCAGTTTCACTGTAGAGTTTAATTGGATCCAGCTTTGATTCTTCCTTTTAAGGATTTTGGATAAAATTGTTGTTTTTAGTTTGTTAAAATGAGTGTTGTAGGTTTTGATATTGGAAATGAGAAGTGTGTAATTGCTGCTGTAAAGCAAAGAGGTGTAGACGTGTTGCTGAATGATGAATCGAAACGTGAAACCCCGGCTTTGGTATGCTTTGGAGAGAAGCAGAGATTCCTTGGCTCTTCCGCAGCGGCTTCTGCCATGATGCACCCGAAAACTACAGTATCCCAAGTGAAAAGGTTGATTGGTAGGAAGTTTCAGGAACCCGATGTTCAGATTGAGCTAAGAGTGTTACCATTTGAAACATCAGAGGGTCAAGATGGTGGCATTTTGATTCACTTGAAGTATTTAGAAGAGATGCATCAATTTACTCCGTTGCAGATTATGGCGATGCTGTTTGCACATTTGAAATATATGACGGAGACCAATCTGGGACTTCCTGTTTTGGATTGTGTTATCGGGATTCCTTCGTACTTTACCGACTTGCAAAGACGTGCCTACTTGGATGCTGCTGCAATTGCCGGGTTGAAGCCTCTGAGATTGATGCATGACTGTACTGCAACTGCACTTGGTTATGGGATTTACAAAACAGATTTCTCCATTGCTAGTCCGACATATGTTGCCTTTGTGGATATTGGCCACTGCGATACCCAGGTCTCGGTTGTGTCGTTTGAGGCTGGGCAAATGAGGATACTGTCCCATGCTTTTGATAGCAGCCTAGGTGGAAGGGACTTTGATGAGATATTGTTTGGATATTTTGCGGCATGTTTCAAAGAGCAGTATAACATAGATGTATGCTCTAACATCCGGGCTTCAATCAGGTTAAGGGCAGCATGTGAGAAACTGAAGAAGGTTTTGAGTGCAAATGCGGAGGCGCCTCTAAATATTGAGTGTCTGATGGATGAAAAGGATGTCAAAGGTTTCATTAAGAGGGAGGAATTTGAGAAGTTGGCTTCGGGTTTGCTGGAGAGGATCAACATTCCTTGTGCTAAAGGTATAGCTGATGCAGGGTTAACTGTGGGGAAAATCCATGCTGTTGAGCTAGTGGGATCGGGGTCCAGGATACCAGCTATAACAAGACAGTTAGCTTCTTTATTTAGAAGAGAACCCTGTCGGACCATAAATGCAGGTGAGTGTGTGGCACGAGGATGTGCTCTCCAATGTGCAATGCTTAGTCCCATATTTCGTGTTAGAGATTATGAGGTTCAAGATTGTATTCCATTCTCCATAGAATTATCTTTGGATGAAACCCAGATTTTGCAAGGCACAAATAATGTGATGTTCCCGAGAGGCCAGACGATTCCTAGTGCTAAAGTTCTGCAATTACAGAGAAGTAGTAAGTTCCATTTGGAAGCCTTCTATGCCAATCCAAACGAACTCCCTTTCAGCATACCCTTGAAAATAAGTTCCTTCACTGTATGTCTAACCTTTATCGAATATTTCTTGTTTTCGATGGAATTGACCAGTTTACGGATTGATCATCATTTGGTTTTACAGATTGGCCCTTTCCAAAGCTCCAATACTGAAAAGGCAAGGGTTAAAGTCAAAGTTCAATTAAACCTTCATGGAATCATCACTGTTGTGTCGGCTATTGTAAGTAGGATTCAACATTTTCTTTGAACATCTTATTGATATATAGTTTCTGAGAAATTTTGCTTTTGGCTGATCAAGGAGCACGTAGATAATTCCGGGATGAGCACAGAGGATGCCCGACACATAATGAATGGCAGTGAAAATGGTACCTCAAATGCTTCAGTAAGTTTGTATCATCATTAGATACTGTTCTTTATGTGTCATCTTTATTGTTTAGGGTTTTGATACGTTAATAATTCACGCTGTTTTATCATGTAGTTTCATGTCATGCTTTCGATGAGCATGTAGATAAATCAATCTCTCTTCTCGATATTGATGGTGGAAAAAACTGTGTAGGTTCTAACTTCTGAGTCTATTCGTGCTTTTTTCTCTCTCGATGCAGGCTGATGGTAAAACGAATGATAAAACAACCGAGAGGCTTGATATACCAGTTTGCGAGAACATAAACGGTACAATGACAAAGGTTGAGCTGATGGAAGCTCAAGATAAAGAACTTAAGTTGGCACAACAGGACCGGACTATGGAACAAACGAAAGAGAGAAAAAATGCCTTGGAGGCTTACGTCTATGGAATGCGGAATAAGGTAAAAAGGGTCGATCTAAATAATAGGCATTATCTATTTTTTTTCTCGACATACTGATATCTGTCTAATAATATTTATGTGAAGCTTTTCAACACGTATCGGGGTTTTGCATCTGAAAATGAGAGAGAAGACATTTCCAGGAGCCTACAGGAGACAGAGGAGTGGCTTTACAATGAAGGGGAGGATGAAACCGAAGGCGCTTACACTTCCAAATTAGAATTTCTTAAGAAGGTTATAGATGTTTCTTTATTTAATCGTAAAGGTTTACTCCGTTGTGGCTAACATCATCTTCCCTCACTCTGCTATTTTTCTTTGTTATAGTTAGTGGATCCTGTTGAGATTCGATATAAAGACGAAGAGGCAAGAACACAGGCTTCAAGAGATCTACTCAAGTGCATTGCTGATTTACAAATGTCGACAAAATCTTTGCCAAAAGAGGATAGAGAAGCGGTAAGTTAATTACTGGTTTACACATTATAAATGCAAAACTTACTCAAGCTCGAACTCATTACGGTGAGTCTCGGTTTTTCAGATAATGAATGAGTGCTACAAAGCCGAGCAATGGCTGACCGAGAAAACTCAGCAACAAGACTCTTTACCTAAGAACACTGACCCACTCTTATGGTCAAGTGAGATTCAGAGCATGACAGAGGATCTAAACATGTAATTATTCTTGGTCTGATTCCGATTCGAGTCCGACTTGTTGGAACAATTATAATAATCTGTTTAATGGGATATCAGGAAATGCAAGCAAATCGTAACACAGAAGGCTCCTCATCGGGATGTCGACAACAACGACTAGGACCATCGAGAATAAGATTGAATGCGTAAGAAACATCGACAAGTTTACAGTTCACACATCACACTTATGCTAGAACATTGATCATAATCTAGTTTTGACATTGCAAGACAAGAGTCTGTCGTGATTTAATGGAGTTTTCCAATACAAGTTTTAGGCTTTTTTTGTTAGATATATATACAGGAGGAATGATATGCAGGTATCAGAGTAACAGTTCTCAAAGACTAGTGTATTACTTTATCTGCTTGATGCCTATTTTGTCTCCCATACTAGTGAAACTCTCAATTTGGTTCTACAATCTATTTTGACTTTGTCCCGTCTATTTTCATTTCGTCTACTGAATTAGATTAACGGAATGTAGCATTACTTAACACGTTGGTAGCGTCTCTGAACCCTCGAAGTTTTATATTCGAAGCAAATTTTCAAGAAAATTCTCGAGTTTTAGCAATAGTTGGCATTGAAATTGAAATCAACAAGATAAATAATAGCTAGAATTTGACATTTGACTAAATTAACACTACCACCCTGGTTTATTCATATTGCCTCCGAGGAAACTCAACAAGCATGATCTTCGTATCGAATTCAGTTCAAAATAAAATACGTGTTATAACTGAGATATTAGATTATGAAGATGAAACTTTCGAAATACTTGTTAAGAACTCACCTGGACAAGATGTTGGAACCGTAGCTAGTTTCTTCTTGGTTTGTTTCTTCGGATCCACTTTGTGAATTTGTATTGTAAATCTCTCTCGATGATTCGAACAAGCCACCATGGTCTTCCGGTTGTGAACACAATGTAACCTAAGCTCAATCCTAGTACGACTCCGCTTCCGTACCCCATCATTGCAACTTGCCAAAAAGACAACTCTTTAGAACCCTCGTGTTCCACCACCAATGGTGCGGGTGGTTCGGCCTCCCTGTGGTCGACGCATGACTTGGACAATGGTAAGCCACACAATCCCAAGTTACTGCTGTAGGAATCATTATCAAAGGTATCAAATTGCTTCTCATGGGGAATTTGTCCAACAAGATTGTTGTGGGAAAGGTTCAACACTTCAAGAAACCTCAAATTCTTCATTTGAGAAGGAATGCTGCCACCAAGATTGTTTGATGAAAGATCTAATGACTCAAGTGCCAACATATTTCCGAACGATGACGGAATAGAACCGGTGAAGTTGTTGTGAGAGAAGTTGATCATTTGCAGGGAAATAAGTCGTCCGACTTCCTCGGGAATTCGTCCAGAGAATTTGTTGTTTGACAGGTCCATAGATACGAAAATGTCTAAGGTCTTCGTCAATTCAAGCTCCAATCTTTTCGTTGTTACATTCAAAGAAGTGTAGTAATACTCAACATCATAGTCAATGCCGCCAAAGTTAACGGGTGGTGAGTGTGAATGTCTCTCTGTCATGGCTCTCAAATTTCCGAAGAGTGTCTTCGGCAAGGTGCCGGAGAACTCATTCTCAGAGATATCAAGTATCTGCAACCTGGAGAAACTAGTTGAAGATATGGAACGAGGCATGATCCATGAAATCTATTATGTCTCAAGATAAGAACTTGCAGACTTGGAAGTGAAGCTAACCAATGAGGAAAGCTATCAGTTAACGTGTTGTTTCCTACATGTAAAATTGTCAGTTTAGTACAATTAGCCAAAGATACTGGTACTATTATTCGAAAGTTCAAGAACTTCAAGATTCGAGAGTTTCGAAAGCATACCCGGGTCAATGACACCACTCAAGTTGTTTGATGACAAATAAAGTTCACTAAGGTTGACAAGATCAAAACTTGAATGGGGTAGTAGACCATGAAAGTCATTCGAGCTTAAATCGATACGTTAGACAGAAGTAGTCATCTGAATTCGATCCAAGGAACCTGCTAGTGCTATGACTGAGGTCTAAATCTAGAAGAGATGGGAGAATAAATTGCCAACCACTATCATGATTTGGAAAGGGAGCTTCCAAGTGATTATGTGACAAATCCAGAGTGGTAATTTTTGGGAGGTTGAACATGGTTATTGGAAGTGGACCACTCAAATTGCAGCGAGAAATTCTCAAGGAGGTTAATCCGGTAAGGTTCCCAAAAATGATTTGAAATCCGCGGATGAATAGGAAAGATCGAGTGAAACTAAACTCAACAGGAGACTGATTTGATTAGGGATTCGACCAAAGAAACCATTACTAGAGAGATTAAGATGGGTTAAACTCACCAACTGACTTAACAAATCCGATGATACGGTGCCATAGAAATCGTTAGAGGCAAGGTTGAGTCGTCGGAGTCCATGAAAGTGAAGCAGGCTGCTGGTGTTTTCCAGAGGAGAGCCATAGAGGTAGTTGGAGCTCAGGTCAAGATACTGAAGGCTGCCAAGGCGGAAGAGGCTGTTGTTTGCAAAGAGAGGCAACTGTGACTAAGATCGATGCCAATTACATGACCGGTCAGCTATTCACATTTGACTCCCTCCCAGGAACAACAATCTATTATTTTGTTCCATGACACTGTCTTGGGGTAATCATCACCACAGTAACCGTTTTGAGAAATGGAGTTTTTAAATTGTAGCAGAATAGCCCCTCTGGTGTGGGAGACAGAGATGAGAGGATGGAGGTACAGTGAAACTGCATGAAAGATGCAACATTAACGCCAATATCAGGCAAATGCTTCCCATTTTTTTCTCAAGAAACAAACACATGTAAGAACCAAAGGAACGTTAATGTGAAAGTACAGATTTAAATTTCATATATGCTTATAACCCCCTTCAGTCAACAAATTCAGGGGACCCCAAAAGAAATCAACCAATTAATACAGCTAAGTCTATCTGTAGGTGAGTTGGACTTATTTTTCAAAAAGAAAAGAAACAAAGTTAACACTTTTGTTACATTTTATTTTAGAGTAACAAAGAAATTGATTTAAATAATTTTAAAATTCATTAACATTGTACTACATAAAAAAATACCATTATCATTTTAGTCTTTCCTAATTGAATTAAATTGTTGAGAAAGTAAAACAAAGGACCGCATCACCATATCGTTGAAGGGACAAACAAGAAAGCAAGCAAAACACAATTGAATCATGCTAGTATGTTACAAAATTTACACCACAAAAAATCTTCATCCTTTCTTCTTCTTTGTGTTGCTTTTCTTTTTCGACTTTCTAAAGCCACCTCCACTCTCCTGTTACCAACAAAAATGGACTTAAGTAGGATACCGATGTTTGTTAAATAAATCGAATCATCTCATTGGACCAAGAATCAGCTGTATAACCAGTCCAATATACTATATGAAACCGCTCATTAACTAAATAAGAAAAAAAAAACGATTTAACCAATAAAAACTAGTTTAAGACTATACAATTACGTCAAATATATATAGCTTTGTTAATAATTCACTTATAGTCAATATTTCTTTAACATTAAAATCAATATTCAAAAGCCTTAATAGACCTTGGCCTACTTGATGGTAGAGTTCAGCTAAGGGCAGGCTAGTGGCTTAAATTTCAGAAAAGAAAAACCGTTTCGATATGTTACCTTCCGATAATGCCTATATGCCATTTGACCCCACAATTCCTGACCGGTCCTGGTAACATAAACCTGCAGCATAAGAGAAGATTATAATATGATTTACGTTTATCAAAACCAAAATATTGCAGCAAATTCATTCATAATTTTTACAACAGAAAAGAAAATTGTAGCAAATTTCCTAAACATAATTGAAAATGACTGGTATTTTTAAGTGCATGGGCTGCACATTTATAATTATGCGTTGATGTGTTAGAAAAAGTGCGATAGAAGATGAAGTGGTAAGCGTTTCAGCATACCTTCCTCCCCTCGGGAGATGTATACCAGTGGCCAGCAGATTGACTGCCACTAGCATGAACTCTTCTCTTCCCAGCATTCTTTGGAATAGCTCCGCTGCTTTGCGGAATTACCCATCCTTCAAATGCATCATTTTCAGCATTTGGTTTCTTTGATTTGTTTCTTCTATTTGTTGAGCCGTTGTTGCCACTGGCTTTTTGAGCTCCTCTCTGTTTTGATGATTCTCCTTTTCTGAATTGACTCCTGCAGTGATTTTATATAAAGCAAAGTAAACAAAGTGAAGTTTGATGCAGAAAAACCGATACATATAAAAGCTACTCACGTAAAATCCATAACTGAGACATTAGATTGTTGATGTTGTCCGTTGTTGACCATGCTCAAGGGGGTAAAGAAGGGTAAGCAGCTACGGACTAATTTCTGGATCTTTGGATCGGCATGGAAAAAGTAGCGATGTGCTGGAGGCAAGGGGTCATTTAAATCCTGGAGTTGCTCCACCTTTTGGCTCACGTATTTCTGGGAAGCACTCGTATCTTTCCCACATTTCTGAGAAACATTCTTATCATTCAAAAGATTGAAAATATTCTTTACATACCTCATCAAATGCAGGTGTTTGAATACGAGAACTATCCATTAGAGAGAAATCTTTCCAGAAATCTTCATTCTGAGGTATACTAAAGGATGTCTTTGCCTGTATCCTCGTGGTCTGAGGGGTCATCAGAATCAGAGTCAAGTAACTGAAATCTTCGAATAGGACTGATAGTTTAACTTTGGAAATGTCAACCCGAACTATCCATTAGAGAGAAATCTTTCCAGAAATCTTCATTCTGAGGTATACTAAAGGATGTCTTTGCCTGTATCCTCGTGGTCTGAGGGGTCATCAGAATCAGAGTCAAGTAACTGAAATCTTCGAATAGGACTGATAGTTAACTTTGGAAATGTCAACCCATCACGTCTTTCCTTTAAATTTGCTGAAGCTGGGGCAACCGATTCTTCTTCCTTGTTCCTTGTAGTAGATTGGATGGATGATGGAGTAGTTAAAAGCCCGAGACTCTTCAATGGGACCTTGGAACTGCTACACACAGAATGATACTTTATTGAAGAATCCATGCCTGCTAACAAAGAATCCACATCATCAACAATCAGTTTACAGAAGCAGGGAACACATGCACAAATTACTGATTTTAAACAAATATCGGAACCTGAAATAAACAATGAAAATGCATGCTTCAAAACTATGTTATTTGAGCTCTTTCCCCCCCCCCTAAAATACCATTTCTGATGCACATTAAGACATGAATATAGGGGTATAATCTTAAAAATATATCAAAAAACTTTAAAGGCTTGAGCATGTCCATATTGGACATGTATACGTATACAACAATCAACCTTAGCCAAGTAACATAGCTTTAAAATTACTCGACTACACTTGTACCTACAGTTCTATAGACTACATCCTAGTCAAGGTAGTAGCTTAAACATTATCTAATTCTCATTTTCAGATGAACCGAGTTTAAGTTGCTAAGAACATGATTGGAGTTTGATCAACTTCGCTATTAATGATCCAGCCGAAATGCTCTTTCACATCACATATATTGACATAAACACCTGGTCAATTTTAGGGAAATCTTTATTCTCTCCATTCCTTGACAAATATCAATCATTCCACCATAATCAATCTCAGAATATTAGTAGAATCACTATACTCAAAACCCAATTACAACTAAGAAATATTTTTTAACCTTCCTTTTACTTCAATCTTTTAATTTTACTGTACATCTATTTTACCTCCAATAACTAAAATTTCCACTTTCCCTTCCAAAAATAAACCCTATTAGACCTCAAATTTCTCACTAACAATAGAACACGTAATATATTTAAAACAAATATGAAACCCAGTAAATTTAGATTCAAACGAAGTAAAGGAGAAGAACTTTAAATCAATCAATATCCCATCCAAAATCAGCCCGCCGCAACCGCTTTAAGACGCGGGGAGGGTCGGGTCCAGTATCCGGATCCGAATCCATAACTTGTTGAGACTCGAGCTCTTCAGCATTGTCTTCGAGGGTGTTGAAAGTCGCAGAAGGATCAAGGACTAAGATGGGTCCCGGATGGTCGTCGTCCAGTAAACGGGGCTCCGAATCGGCGTCGAGATCGAGATCGAACCCGAGAGAGAATGACGGAGCTTCGAAGTTCGCCATTGAAAGAGCGAAAAATGTTTTCTTTGAGGGATTTGGAGGGAATTCATAACCTTGTATATATTTGAGACAATTTGGAGGGAAAAATATTAAAAGCTATAATTAAATTTTGATGGTCAAAAAACTCGAATCTGATGGTTCTCGATCTGATCTAATTTTATAGGGACGATCTTTTTTTTAAAAAAATTGAGATTCGGGGTAGAACGGACGAGACAAGTATTACAATTTATCGGGACAAGATGAGATCGAGTTTAAGTAATATAATTTCAGATTAGGGCAAGACAGTAAAAAATCCAGCCTACCCCGTCTCGTGCCATCCCTTATTTTTGTACTACTTAAAATAAATATATATGTGAAATGTAAAATAATATAAAGTATAAATACTTTATTTACTTATTATTTAATTATTATTGTTATGTCATTTTGATTTTCTAAGCAATTTGAAAATGGATAAATCATATAATCCACTAATATAAACGTCTTTAAAATATTAAAAATTACTAGATTAATAAGCAAAATAAATAGGTATTATTTTCTTTTAGTGGTTTTTTTAAATGTAATTTTATGTGGATTGATAAAAATAAACTATACAAAAAAATGTAAATAAATATTAAAAAATCATGTATGCTATTTCATTGATCAATTATTTATTAAGAGAAAGGATTAAATTTTTTATTAATTTATATTTTATTTTTCATGAAAATTTTAAAAGATAAAATCTTGTAGATTGTTTTTTTCATGCAGAATAAATATGTTAATGTTGGAAGATTAATATTATTTTAGTTTTAATAAATATTATTTAATTAATGAATATTATTTTTAGTAGATTAAATATAATTATAAAATAATATTTATTTTGAATTTTTTAATCATTCACAATATGTACACATCCTATAGATATTATAGTTTGAATCTAAAGTCTTTAAAAAAAATCTTTTTAATACTGAAATTACTTGATGAATATATAACTTTAAGTATAAAATATATTTTTTATTAATCTGAGATAAATACAATACATCATTTTAAAAATAAATATTAATCATTTGATATTGAACAGGGTATTCATCATTTAGTTAAAACCCCTTTATTTCGGTTAACTTGGTTAATCAACCAATTAATCGAATTTAGTTCGGTTAGATTAAATGTTCGGTTAACGGTTAAAAGAAAAAATCAATTAGTGAACACCCCTAACATCTAACAATCACACCCTAGCAATGAAATTCTTAATACTCTGACCCAAGACCTTCAGAAAAGGGTTAATTACCTCATTCATACGTGATCTATACTCGATTCTCAGTTTCATATATAAAGTTTAAAAATTATCGATTAACTATATAATGTTTTCTGTCGTTAATGGGTATACCCATTTCCATCACGAAAGATGATGTGAAACCCTCTGACTTATAACAAACCGACCAGAAATACTTTTAAAAACATGTTTTTATTTTTTTAGGTAAATTACATCATTCATCATTCAATTACTTTCTCACTCTTATTTTAGTCACTAAAGTTGAATTTTTTTAATTTAATTATTATCCAGCCACAACAGGTTTTACCGAATTACACTGAGTTGTGTTGGTGTTTTTCCTCATGGGTACTGCTCCAACTCAGTGCCCATGCATGCCAAATTTGATAACATAACTAAGTTTTCAAGCTCCAGTTTCCCATCCACTCTTAATCTTACGAAGCTTAGCTTTCACCCCCAATTCCAATATATTATCAAAAAGTTGCTCCATGTGTCTTCTCTAAAAAGCCATTATCAAAAAAAACTCAAATATCATCCAACATTGCTTCTCTATTACTTGGCCTAGGCGAAGGAAGCGCTAATTTCTGATAAAATGGTGGTCCTTTGTAGACTTTTCAAAACTTTATGTGCTTGATTGCTCCTCTCATCCTATCGTGTTTAATGCTGCAAGGAAAATTCAAGTGTTGAACGATTCAACATTAGGAATCAGTGGTCTTAGTTTCTTACCATGTAGTAAGCTCTATTTCAAAGCATCTCAGCCTCCTCTAACTCATAACAAATTCATCCATGGCTTCAGTTTTACATCCTTTACTTTCAGCTTACCTATTGCTGCTCCTACCTATTGTTACTGCGCCTCAAAGTGGTGCCAGTGAAATCGGGGTCGGCAACTCCATCGAAGCTTCTCGGGAGTCGGGATGCAAAACCGTGGGTTTCTCCTTCCACTGATTTCGCTATTTGGTATTATAAAGTACAAAGTCGTACCATAGTTTGGTATGCGAATGGAGATAAACCTGCTCCAACGAGAACAAAGATCGAGTTAACAGCCGATCGAGGACTCGTACTCAGTGATCCTAAAGGTCAATTGATTTGAAGATCTGAGATTGCCACTGGTGAAGTTGCTGTTGCAAGAATGAACCATACAAGCAACTTTGAGATTAAAAACAAAATATCTTTAGTGACTAAAATAAGAGTGAGAAAATAGTTGAGTGATGAATAGTGTAATTTATCTAAAAAAAATTAAAAAATGTTTTTTAATGTATTACATGTCATGATTATAAGGTTTCACGTCACTTTCTGTGACAAAAGTAGATGAATCCGTTAACGGCAGAAAATATTATATAGATCAAAAATTTTTAAACTTTATATATAAAACTGAGAATCGGTATAATTTATGTATAAATAAGATAATTAACTCAAAAAAATAACAACAATTCATTTATAATTATAAAATACCTTAAATATAATTGTAACGTAATTAAATATGTTAATACAAGACAAATACACGAATATTATGTTGATTGAAGATATGACTAATTTTACTGTTTTATGTTTGACTTCTGGATAACTGAAATATAATATAAAGTACGATAAGGTACAAAAATAATAGAAATATTATGAAAATATTAAAATATTATTATAATACGAGGAGTTTGCAAATCGAAATAATTAATATATAAAATTTGATATCATCGGTGTTTTAGATATAAATTTATTTATTATCAATTTTATTTAATATACATTTCCTTTATTTTCTTATGCTTTATATGACTTCCGCTCCTCGAATCTCCCCATAAATAAAGAATGGAAAATAATAATAATAATAATAATAATAAGGGAAAACTATATAGATACCGCTGAACTTTAAGATGTTATATCATTTATACTATTAAATTTTTAATTTTCTCAATTATAACGTTAAACTTTAATTTTTATTTAACGTTATAATTTTTAATTATACCATTGAATCGTTAAATTATCATTTATGACATGCCTCACGGATACCGACATTGACATCTCATCAAAATAGTATCGTTTTGATTTAGTTGTTAATTATTTAACGGTCCAGTAATATAATTGAAATAAAAATCAAAGTTCAGTGTTATATTAATAAAATTAAAAGTTCAGGCATTTTTCTCAAAAAATCATTTTTTTAATTTAATATTCCCGATCAGGCATCGGTCATACTATATTTCTCGATCTAACACCCTTTGCAGTAAGGCACCCCCTACAGCGCGCTATACGCTGATTTGACACCACGTGGGGTAAGGCGGGCCTTATACTGACATGTATACACGTGTGTATGGCGCGGGGCAGGGGCCGCGCCTTACGCCACGTAAGATATAACGCGGGGCATGGGTCGCGCTATTCAATTATCAAACATGCATAATGCAAGGCGCGGTGCAAGGACCGCGCCTTGCATTATTTTCCCAAACTGCTCAGCTTTAAGGCATTCTCTCTCGGCTATAAATAGTCGTCTCCCGTAAACTCTCTCACCAACAATCCTTTGAATAAGTAAATAACATCCGACAATCATCTTATATTTGAATCAGAAGTTTGCTCGATCTTTTGTTATAAGGTAATTTTGTTATAATATTTATTTTATAGTTATATATGATTATTTGAAAAAAAAAATATTATACTAATTGTTTTCAATTAATTTTTATGTT